GCTGGGTCAAATGGTATCTCTATTTGCAACTTTTTGAGAAAGCGCCATACTGCTTTCCACAGGGGTTGCACCATTTTACACTCCCACCAACAGTGTGCACACCTATGTTTATTGCGATTTTGTTTGCAATAGCAAAGAGCTGGAAACAACCCAAGTGCCCATTAACAAACAAATGGATAGAGAAGCTGTGGTATATTCACACAATGGAATACTATGCAGCATTGAAAAACAAGGAACTCATGAAATATTATGCAAAATGGATGACCCAGGAGGACATTATGCTGAGTGAAATATCTCAGCCACAAAAGGACAAATATTGCATAGTGCCACTGTTGTAAAACGGGACTGACACCAGGGTTGAGGGAAGATAGAAAAGGGGAAGAATGATGTATGCTGCATTGAAACAGATAAGGGAGAGAACTGTTTAAAAGGGACATATGAATGGGTATTCTTATCAATACAGAAGTCCAGAGTGAAGGCTGCACAGTGGAGTGGACTTGGGGGGGGGGATCGCATAACAATGAAAGAGTTTTTCTTTTCAAGGAGAAGAGTGAATTGGGGGAGGGGGTGGATAGGGAGAAAAATACAACAATGAATGACTGGAAACCCCAAGTCTCTGTAAACTTCCATTAAAATTAAACTTTTTTTTTTTTTTTAAAAAAAGGAGTAAGAGTGGGTGTGGCACAGAGTTTGACTACTAACCCAAAAGTTGGCTGTTTGAATCCACCCAGAGGGGCCTAAGAAAACAAGCCTGACGATCTGCTTCCAAAAGGTCACAGCCTTGAAAACCTAATGGCGAAGCTCTACTGTGCATTCATGAGGCCACTGTCAACTTTGCAGCAAATAACAACAGGATAAAAATAACACTGAAAAGAGAGAGAAAAACCAGATCTGCCTAAAGAGTCTGTCTTTTGTTGGGCTAAAATATGGATTATTTTTTTTTCAATATGCCAAGTTTTTTATTGGTTTCATTTCTTGCATTTGAAATACTCTTCAATGACATCCTTGGCCTGAGTTTGTTTGCCATAGTCCTTTAAAAAAGATGGGGTTGGGGGAAGCCCATCAACTTCTTAGAACATTTTCTAGATGCTGAACTAGAAGCAGCATTGAATACTTAAACTATGTTTGCCATTCAAACCCAGGTGTAGCCATTTTCAAGGACCTTCACGATCTCAATTATCCTTAAGGTTTATAACCTGGCCTTAATATTGCCAGCTTTAAAAATATAAAGTCTAGGCGAGCTCTGGTTACCTGGCGGCAAGAAGCTGCACTGCAATCCCAGAGGTGCACAGTTCAAATCCACCAGACGCTCTGCTGAAGAAGGAGGGACAATTTTCTCCTGTACCAGATCTGATTTGATGGAACACATATTAAAAAAATAAAATAAAATAAAAAAAATATAAAGTCTAACTTTTTATTGAGTTAGTTAGTTGTTGTGGGACTAGGAGAGTTGTGTGTTGTATATCACTCACCGGACAGGGACAGCCTTGCCTCTTTGCTGTCTTAACACTTTCCTTCTCTCCTTTAGGCTCCTGAATGATGCCAGCCCAATGTCCCCTGACCTCCAGCCTGGCCCTTCTGCTGCTGCTGGGCACAGCTAAAGCAGGCCCTTTCTCTCCCCGGTCCAATGCGACACTCCCAGCCCCACGGCCTCCTCCACAGCCAGGGGGCCGCACAGGAGTGGCAGAAAGGGGCAAACCTTCTTCTCAGCTTTATGAGCACACGGTGGAGGGAGGGGAGAAGCAGGTGGTGTTCACCCACCGCATTAACCTGCCCCCATCAACTGGCTGTGGCTGTCCCCCTGGCACTGAGCCCCCAATACCTGCTTCAGAAGTGCAGGCCTTGAGGATTCGGCTAGAAATCCTAGAGGAGCTGGTGAAGGGACTCAAGGAACAGTGTACAGGAGGATGCTGTCCTGCAGCTGCCCAGGCAGGTACAGGTGAGTAGGTAATCACAGGAGAGAAAGTTGGAGAGGTAGGGGAGGGTGGGGCGAGGGCCTATGAAAAAGAGGCCCTTTCCTTGCCCAAGGGTCGGGACGCAGCTCTTGAGTGAAGGCTGCTTTTGGGAACAAACTTGAACTCGGTTAGATGTGAGCCCCTGCTCCAAACATACGCTAAGGCTCCAAGATACCAGGTACATTGACAAGAAGCAGCCTGGAGCTAAGAGGACCTTATTAAATGAGCCTGGCTCTGCTAGAGAGGCCCTCTCCCCGAAAAGGGCCAGCAGAAAGACTGACCTTTTCCTCACCTTCTTACTTACTCCAGGCCAAACAGACGTTCGCAGCCTTTGCAGCCTCCACGGCGTGTTTGACCTGAATCGATGCGCTTGTTCCTGTGAGCCAGGCTGGAGTGGGCCCACCTGCTCCGACCCCACTGATGCCAAGGTGCCTCCCACCTCGCTGCCCTCAGCCCCAGCGTCCTGCCCTGACGACTGTAACGACCAGGGCCGTTGTGTCCGTGGTCGCTGCGTGTGCTTCCCAGGCTACGCTGGCCCTAGCTGTGGCTGGCCCTCCTGCCCAGGGGACTGCCAAGGCCGCGGGCGCTGTGTACAAGGTGTGTGCGTATGTCGCGCGGGTTTCTCCGGAGAAGACTGCAGCCAGCGCACCTGCCCTAGAGGCTGTAACCAGAGAGGCCGCTGTGAGGACGGGCGCTGCGTGTGCGATGAGGGCTACACCGGAGAGGATTGTGGGGCGAGGAGCTGCCCTCGGGGCTGCAACCAGCGAGGCCGCTGTGAGGACGGGCGCTGTGTGTGCAACGCAGGCTACACCGGCGAGGACTGCGCGCTGAGGAGCTGCCCTCGAGGCTGCAGCCAGCGGGGCCGCTGTGAAAATGGACGCTGCGTGTGTAATTCAGGCTACACTGGAGAGGACTGCGGTTCGCGCAGCTGTCCCTGGGACTGCGGCGAGGGCGGGCGCTGCGTGGACGGTCGCTGCGTGTGCTGGCCGGGGTACGCGGGCGAGGACTGCCGCACACGGACCTGCCCTCGCGACTGCCGGGGCCGCGGGCGGTGCGAGGACGGCGAGTGCATCTGCGACACGGGCTACAGCGGGGACGACTGCGGCGTGCGCAGCTGCCCCAGCGACTGCAACCAACGGGGCCGCTGCGAGGACGGCCGGTGCGTGTGCTGGCCCGGGTACACGGGGCCCGACTGCGGCGCACGCACGTGCCCGCGCGACTGTCGGGGCCGCGGGCGCTGCGAGGACGGCGTGTGCGTGTGCAACCCGGGCTACAGCGGCGAGGACTGCGGCGTGCGCAGCTGCCCCGGGGACTGCCGAGGCCGGGGCCGCTGTGAGAGCGGCCGCTGCGTGTGCTGGCCTGGGTACACCGGCCGGGACTGCGGCACGCGCGCCTGCCCAGGTGACTGTCGCGGGCGAGGCCGCTGCGTGGAAGGCCGCTGTGTATGCAACCCGGGCTTCACGGGCGAGGACTGCGGCAGCCGTCGGTGCCCCGGGGACTGCCGCGGGCGCGGCCGCTGCGAGGACGGCGTGTGCGTCTGCAACCCAGGCTACGAGGGCGAGGACTGCAGCACACTCAGCTGCCCTGCGGGCTGCAGAGGCCGCGGCCAGTGCCAGGACGGGCGTTGTGTATGCGACGCCGGCTATGAGGGCGAGGACTGCGGCGTGAGGCGGTGCCCGCGCGACTGCCACCAGCGCGGAGTCTGCCAGGACGGTGTGTGTGCCTGCTGGGAAGGCTACGCGGGCGAGGACTGTGGGCTTCGCACCTGCCCCGCTAACTGCCACCGGCGGGGCCGTTGTGAGGACGGGCGCTGCGTCTGCGACACAGGCTTCACTGGCCCCACTTGTGCCATCCGCACCTGTCCCTCTGACTGCAGGGGCCGAGGGCGCTGTGTGCAGGGCGTGTGCATGTGCCACGTGGGCTTCAGCGGGGAGGACTGCGGGCAGGAAGAGCCGCCCTCCAGCGCCTGTCCCGGGGGCTGCGGGCCGCGGGCGCTGTGCCGTGGGGGCCAGTGTGTGTGTGTGGAGGGCTTCCGAGGCCCCGACTGCGCCATCCAGACCTGCCCTGAGGACTGCCGTGGCCGGGGAGAGTGTCAAGAGGGCAGATGCGTCTGTCAGGATGGCTACGCAGGCGAGGACTGCGGGGAAGGTGAGCACACAGCCTTCTCCAATTTGCTTTGAGTGAACTATGCTGCTCGGACCAGGAGTTGGGTGGGAAGGATGAATGAGCCTGGGTCTGGGGGGCTCCTGGACCTTGAGGAAGAGTACGGCAAAGTCGTATGTTGGAGAATGGGGCTGTACCAGTCAGAGGAACCAGCATGGCCAGGGCCAGCAAAGCTATGGAGCATGCCCCAAGTCTGTAGTAACCCTCAGTGTTATCTTCCCCCTCCTACCATTGCCTTGAGGGAGACTGTGATTGGATGAAGAAGGTCCGGGCCCTGTGGTGCCAGAATTGGAATGAATCTCTGTCCTTGATCAAGTTGTATCCACTTTTCCCCATCCCATAGAAGTGTAGGCCTTTTGATGTATGTACCTAGGGGAGGAATAGGTATGATGGGAGTAGTGGTGGTGGTGGTGGATAGATGTGTCTGCTTATGGTTAACCAGCTTCTCCAACCCCTTCTCCCTGGCAGAGGTGCCAGCCATTGAGGGCATGAGGATGCACCTCCTGGAGGAGACGACAGTTCGGACAGAGTGGACCCGGGCTGCTGGTCCTGTAGATGCCTATGAAATTCAGTTCATTCCCACGGTGAGTGAGACACCAAGCTCCCTGAAGGGGACTGAGTGGAAGAGCCTTGGGGATTGGACTCACCCCATGCAGGAACTTGCAGATAATCAGTCCTTGAGTCTAGCTGGCTGGATTCCAGCCTAAAGGCCTTCTCATCTCGCCCTGGGGAGTGGGGGGGTGGGGGATACAGAAAGCCTCTGCTGCATCTTGGGCAGCCCTGGTCAGGTGCTGCAGGGGCATCTCTGATGGGGAGTAAAGAAGGTCCTGCAGCTGTCCAGTCCATTGTTGGGCATCCCTGCTAGACAGTTATTTTTAATGCTGTCAACTTGAAATCTGCTCTACTTTAACATCCATCAACATTCCCTGGCTGGGCCTTCACCAGCAGCTGGACTCTGTCCCTTCCACACCACAGGCCTTCAAGCATTAGGAGACATCAGTCATCACATCACCCTTTAGATTTCTCTCAAGGAAAACTCACTGATTTCTTTACCCCTTTCTTCACTGACTATTCTCTAAATCCTTCACCTTCCTGGGCTTCCTTCTCTAGTGCCTCCTGCTTTTTGCAACCAGCCCACCCACGCCTGAATAAATCCTGATACGAAGGCACTTTTTTCAGTTGGTATATTTTGGCTTGTGGTTACACAATCTGTCAGCTGTTTTGTTCATATGCATGTGTGTAATAACTTTTTATTATAAAAGCCTTATAAAAATGAGAAAATATAGATAAGCAGGGGAAAAGGAAGGGTTGAAGACAGCCTTCAACTCTAGTACTTTTCTTTAAAAGCCTAAATATAGGCCTTTGCTTTTAGCTCTGTTAATTTTTTTTTTTCAAACTGCCTAGCTATTGCAGGATTTTTGAGTCTGTGAATTGCTTCTCTGCCTCCATGTTATCAGCACTTTGAAAAGTATCTTTTCTACTTCTCTCCAATTTGCTCTTAAAATATTTTGGGGCATCCTAATAATACCACTTGTGGCCCCTCACTGATGAGGTTTTAAGATGTGGTTTTCTTAGCTGTCCAGTCATGTTTTCCAGACTCATTCCCAAAATGGCTAGTGGGGAGGGACCACATCACCCTCATCTTTAGATGAAGTTTCTGAAAATGTAAATAATGCTTTGGACCCAGAGCTGTCCTCTGCCTCCACTTCTGCATAGTCATTCTAATGCTTCTCTTGGTGCCCTAGATAAAGACCATACTAATCTTTCCTCCCTTTTCTGACCAAGATAAAAATCCTTATTTTGCAGTGCATCTAAGATAGCCTGACCTCCCCCTCTTATTCTGTGTAAAAATTGGTGACTTTCTGGTTGTTTTTGTTATTGTTACAGAAATAATTTAATCATGAGACAAGCATCTGGCAAAGAGGGAAAAACAAGTAATTCTTGACTGCTTCACAGATAATCGCTGTTACCATTTTTAAGTGTTCCTTTCACTCTCTTCTTCTGTGGGCACATTATTTACATAGTTCTACTCTTCAAAGAGTGGGGCATTTCAAAAGGAACTTTCTTAAAAGACTGCTGAGAAAGAAGAATTTAAGCAAACACTGGAGATAAGAGGAGCTTGCAGGCCAGTGCTGTTTTTGTTGCTCTGAGCGAATGCTTACTTGGGTTTTCACCAGGGATGAAGCTTCCCAGGCAGGAGCCTGACCTTTTCCCATGACAGAGTCAAAGGACACGGAGCTGGCCTGTGTCAGATTTGGCCATGCTCTCAGCCTATCTGCCATGCTCTGAGTATGGACCTCTGTCATGTTCTGCTTCCTCTTTTAGTGGAGTGTGAAAGACACTTTTGTAAAATTGGTCCCTGGACTCTTCTCTTGCACTCCTGATTCCTCTGTAATTGTGCTCTTTGCCTTGCTTGGCCATTTTCTCTGCCCATTTCAGTTGGCTTGAAGTATATTCCACAGACGGCTCTCCTTTGGCCACTGCCATCTTCCTAGAAGCCTGTCTGTAATTCACCAACACTCCCTTCCCAGAAGCCCTTCTCAAAGCCCAAACACTGCTTTTCCTGGCACAGAATACATGTAGTCATTGGGATCAATTTCAGAAAGAGAAATATTTCTACTCTCCCTGCCTACGTGGCATATTGTTGCTCTGACCCAATAGTTTGCAAACAAAGTGTGTTCTCCAACCTGCAGCATAAGCTTCACCTTAGGAGTGTGTTAGAAATGTACTTTTCCACACTCCACTCCCAGATCTACTGAACTAGAAGTTCTAGGGGCAGATCCAATAAACTGTTGGGTTTGGTTTTTTAAATTTTTTTTTTTTTGTACATGTACCATCAGATTTGACTGGTACAGGAGGAGATTGTCCCTCCTTCAGCAGAACATCTAGTGGATTTGAACCATGCACCTCTGGGATTGCAGTGCAGCTTCTTGCCATTAGGCCACCAGAGCTCCCTGGACCCAGTAAACTCTGTTGTAGCAAGCCCCAGGTGATATGGATGTGCCTCCACAGCCTTAAGATGAAGACTACTCCCTTAAGGAATGTTACTTTTTTTTAAAAAAGGCTGGCTTCTTTATAAAAGTAAGGAAAATAATGCAGGAAAACCAAAAGAGCCAAGTCCCTGAACTTATTGTCCATCTGGGTATATTTTTGTAGCCTGGAAACTAGGGCTATACTAAGTTTTTACTTTGTGGCTTCAGAAGAGGTTTTTGTTTGGATCTGATTTAAAAAGAGAGAAGGAGATGAGGTAAGTTTCAGGGACCAGCCAAGGTAGAGTCTTCCATCTGAGCCCACGAAGTTGATACCAAGAATACAGTTAGAAATTTGCCAGGAATAAGAGGTGAAGCAGTCAAGCTTTACCCAGGGAGAGTCAGCTGCCAGCATCGGATGAAAGAAGGCCACTCTGAGCAGCCATATGGTGCTAGAGTTTGACAGTAGGACTTTTCAAGACCTGTCCCCAGGTGAATCTCAGGAAGGACCAAGAAGTGATCAAAGGGCTCTTGCAGTTTGATTAGAGGAAGAAGGAGAACTCTGGGGACTGATTTGACTCTCCCAAAAGATAAAACTTCATCAAGGAACTCCCAAAGTGTGTGGTGTGGACCAAAAGAATAAAGAGAATAAAAGAAATTTGAGCATATCCTTTTGGAAAAGATGAGAATTTCATGGGAATAACCCAAGACGTTCCTCCCTTGGCTGGGATCCCCTAGGACAGTGGGAACAGGAAAGAGATGGTGGTATTATATGACTTCCAGGCAAGCAAACTCTGGCAAAGCTTTATTTCATCCCTAATCCAGAAGTCTCTGTGTTCTTCTCATCTGGTTTTATACTTAGGTATTTACTGTGCTGATTTCTCCTCAGTTCACTTGGTTTAAGAGAGTACCCTTTGAAAATTCCAATTCTACTTGGCTGAATGGAGGTGTCCCCATCACGGCCAACATAGCTAAGCAGAACAGAGAGTCCTTAGCAGCTCTCTGAGTTTGATAGCCCAACAAAATGTGAGGCTGTTAGTATGCTAACAGATGTCTACTTCCCCCTATTTCCCAAAAGACACATCACCACAATACCTTAGCTGTTCACTTGGAGAGTAGTTCTCTCACAAATCTATATATACATATATAGAATTTTGTGTCATGGGCTGCCAAGTAAATTCTTTTTTTAAATTGACATTTTAATGAAAGTTTAGAGAGGATTTTGGATTTCCATTCATACATTTTTTGCACATTTTCCTCCCGCCCACCCCTCCCCCCTAGTTTGCTTTTCTCTTTGAAAAGAAAAAAAAATTCTTTCATTGTTATACAATCTGCACCACTACCACCTCAGTCCACTTTACTATGCAGTTCTTATTCTAGACTCTTGAAATGAAAATAATACCTAATCACATATCCCTTTTAAACAGTTTTCTCCATCTGTTTCAATGCAGTATGCATTATTGAACCCGTCTTTCTCAGTCTCTCCCCAACCCCAAGGTCAGTCCTGTTTTACAACATTGGCACTATGCAGTACTTGTCCTTTTGTTACTGAGATATTTCACTCAGCATAATGTCCTCCAGGGTCACCCATTTTGAATAATATTGCATGAGTCCCTTGTTTTTCAATGCAGCATAGTATTCCATTGTGTGAATACACCACAGCTTCTCTATCCATTCGTTTGTTGATGGGCACTTGGGTTGTTTACAGCTCTTTGCTATTGCAAACAAAGCCGCAATAAACATGGTGTGCTTATATCTGCTTGGATGGCAGTTATGGTCTCTTTGGGGTATATTCCCAGTAGTGGAATTGCTGAGTCAAATGATATTTCTATTTCCAACTTTTTGAGAAAGCACCATACCACCTTCCACAGTGGTTGCACCATTTTACAATCCACCAAGAGTGAATAAGGGTTCCAGTTTCTTCACAACCTCGCCAGCATTTGTTGTGCCAAGTAAATTCTGACTTGACAACCCTCTATGACAGAGAGCTTCCCCATAGGGTTTCACAGGCTGAGATCTTGTTAGAAGGAGCCCTAGTGGCACAGTGGTTAAGCACTAAGCTGTTAACTGATAGGTTAGCAGTTTTAACCTTCCAGTCTTCGCCAAGGGAGAAAAATGTACATGCTTCTGTGATGATTTTTAGCCTTAAAACCTTACAGGGCACTGCTACTGTATCTGAGACGGTCATCAGGAGTCAGGATAAACTTGATAGCACACAAAACCAGAAACGTCTTTATGAGAGGAGATAAGGGGGGGAGGGGTTGCCTGCAGAGTGGTTAGTGGGTTTGGATTGCCAGCTATGAGGTTAACAGCCAAACACTAGCAGGGTTCCTTAGAGATTGGTGGTGGTGGTGGTGGTGGTGGAGTTATATGCCGTCGAGGCACCTGCAACTCATAGCGACCCTATGAACAACAGCCTAAACCCTGCTCTATCTCTTGCCAATCTTATTGTCTCTGACACGCTTACCCTTGTTACCCCAGTGACTGAATCAGTCTATCTTATCAAGGGTCTTTCTCTCCTGCACTGTCCCTTCACCCTCCCAAGCATGACGTCCCTCTCCAAGGACTGATCCCGCCTTGCAACATGTCCAAAGTCAGACAAAGCTTCAGAATCCTTGCCTCAAAGGAGAAGCCTGGATTTACCCTCTCCAGGATGAGACTGTTCTCCTAGCAGACTATGGTATATTTCAGTACTCTTCTCTGGCACCACAGCTCAAAGGTATCAATTCTCCTTCTATCATCCCTAGTTAATTGTCCAGCTTACTGATGCATAGCACATGATTGCAAAGACCATGGCCTGGGGCAGTCACACCTTAGTCTCCAGACTGACATCATTACTATTTAGTACTTTGGAGAGGTCTCTGACAGCAGACTTTCCCAATGCAAGTCATCTTTTAGTTTCTTGCTGCTGGTACCAAGAGTGTTGATTGTAGGTTCTATAAAAACATAAAAGATATGACCATACATTTAGATACTAGAGTCTCAGACTGAGATAGTATTTTTAGGGAGCTTTTTGTGTTGTGTTGTTGTTGTTGTTTTTAGTACCTGGTAAATAAAGCTGTGAAATATAGCTGTGAAATACTGCTTTTGAGTCCTACAATCCGGATGAAGAGAAAAATCCCTAAAGGGAAATGTGATGCTGGTATTATTCATATTCAAGCCACACAGTCAGCAGCAGGTGTCTGTGGGGAGGCCCAGGCTGGAGCAGATGTTTGAAGGAGGAAGTGACACTAAAGGACCATCTCTGATCTACTTCATCTCTTATGACAGACTGAGGAGATGCTTGCTTATGTCCAGGCCAGCAGGGAACAGCCTGAGGGACAATACTGTGTGTGTAACTGATGAAATTCTGATAGAGGCTGATGAAAAAGCTGATTAAAATGAGGTACCTGTGAGAGGGGACTCTGAGGTCACATTGTTGTTAGTTGTCATTGAATCTACTCTGACTCGTGTTACAGTGGAGAACTACTCCGCAGCGTTTTCTTGGCTCTAATCTTAATGAGAGCAGATGGCCAGACTTTTCCATCTATGATGTGACTATTTCCATCTATGATAACAATTGAGCACAAATTGTATGCTCTACCCAAATACCTCTCTCCTTAGAAGCGAGGATGGTGAGATTTCATCTCCCATACTTAGGGCATATTGTCAGGAAGGGCCAGTCCTTGGAAGAGAACATCATGCTTGGAAAAGTTGAGGGCCAGCAAAGGAGAGGAAGACCTTCAATAAGATGAAGTGGCATAGTGACTACAACAATGGGTGTCAGGGAGTTCTGGTGGCCTGGTGGCAAGAAGCTGCACTGCAATCCCGAAGGCACAAGGTTTGAATCCATCGGATGCTCCGCTGGAGAAGGAGGGGCAATCTCCTCCTGTGCCAGTCAGATCTAATTCACAGCACACTAGAAAAACAAAACAAAGTGCTTAAACACAGCAGTGATTGACAGGATGGTGAAGGAAGGGCAGGGTTTTGTTCAGTTGTACATAGTAGATTGTTATGGGTTGGAGCTGACTCTTGAGCATCTAACAACAGCAGGGGCCTTGAAGTCACATTGTCTGGTGCTGGCAACCCTGGGCAAAGTATTTATCCTTCTGTGCCTTGGTTTCCTTATAGACATAACAGGAGGTATCTCATGGAGCTGTTGTGAGGGTTAAGTTTGTACATGTAAATGGCCCAGAAGAGTAGCTGGCTTAGAGAATGTGCCATAGACAGTTCTGCTGTCATCACCCATGTTCTCTACCTTATAAAAGGCCAAGCTCTACACAAGGCCCTGCTGAGTTTTTTTAAATAAGACTGAGTAGCAGAAGCAAGAGTGCCACCACAATCCATCTCGGGCTCTCTTTTTTGCAGACAGAAGGTGCGAGTCCTCCCTTCACAGCGCGGGTGCCCAGTTCTGCCTCAGCCTATGATCAGAGAGGACTGGCCCCTGGCCAGGAGTACCAAGTCACTGTCCGAGCCCTTCGAGGGACCAGCTGGGGCCCGCCTACCTCCAAGACCATTACCACCAGTGAGTGCTGGGGCTGTGGAGCAGGATGCTGGGTGGAAATCCAGAATAGACAGGGCAGAGGAAAGGGCCTGGATGAAAGGAAGACTTTTAAGAAGGAAAGAATAGTAACTGCAAAAATCAGACTCCGACTTGAACCCTCTTCTCTCTAACGTGGCTAGTGATCGATGGTCCCCAGGACCTCCGAGTAGTGGCTGTGACTCCAACAACACTGGATCTTGGTTGGCTGCGGCCCCTGGCAGAGGTGGACAGATTCGTGGTGTCCTATGTCAGTGCTGGCAACCAGAGGGTGCGGCTTGAAGTGTCCCCTACGGCAGATGGAACAAAGCTGACAGACTTGATGCCAGGCGTGGAATATGTTGTGACTGTCACTGCGGAGCGGGGACGGGCAGTCAGCTATCCATCTTCTGTCAGGGCCAACACAGGTATGACCAGCCAGGGGACAGAGAAGGACCCCAGTTTTGGAGGGTGGAGGCACCCTGTTTGGGACTCCAGGTCTAAGGCTCATAGGTTTCTCTGTGTAAAATTAGTAAGGTATATGCTAGTCCCAAAGTATCTACTGGAGGCCTTGTTTTGTACAGTGGACCTGGGGTAGGCAGAGCCTGCAGGTGCTAGGAAGGCTACAGGTTAGACTATGGGAAGAACTGTCCTCCACAAAGAAACAGTCAACAGGAGGGGCTGCTAAGCTGAGATGCAGTCAGTCTGCCTAGACAAGGGAGGTTCTTAGCCAAATTGGGAAGGTCCAAGAACAGCCTTTTTGTTATTTAGGATTTTCCCAATTACCCTCAGATTACTTAACAGATTCTCAGATCATTCTTTTCTTTTCCCTGACAGGGGGATGCTCACCTCACTGTGGCTCACATCATCTTCCTGTTCCCTTTTCTCTCCTTCAGACCCAGTCTCCACAGGCTGGTTTCTTTCTTCTTTCTAGGGCACCACCAGTGGCAGGCTTGGGGGCCGCCCTGGGGGCCGGGATCCTGGGACACTGACTCTAGATTCTCTTTGCAGATGGGGCTGGGACACAGGGAAGACTCCACGGCTCCAGAGGGAGGGATAGAAGGAGGGACTACTTTGGGGAGGAGGCGGGGAAGTGACCACTAACCTGCTTTCTCCCTTCCCCCTTTCTCCCCTCCCCCTGGCAGCACCAGACCACTACGGTTACTCCGTGGTGCAACCCCCAGCCCTGCCCCGCAAGCCCCGTCCCCGGCCAACCCCGCGACCCCCGCGACCCCCTCGGCCCCCACGGCCCACCAAGGAGGAGGAGGGGGAGGAGTCTCGGCCAGGACTGAGCGTACCCCAGCCCCCACGGCGGCCGTGGGGCAACTTGACTGCTGATCTGGGCCGCTTTGGTGGCACAGTGGAGGACGTGGAGCGCTACCTGCGTGCGCACCGCTACCCTCTGCGCGCCAACCAGACCTACCCGTCAGTGGCCCGCTACATCTACGCTTACTTGCAGCGGCACCTGGCGGCCTCCGCCCCTGCCGGCTCCCCAGCAGCCCAGCCCCACCGCCCCCACTCCACCGCCAGTCCCGACCCCAGCACCAGGAAGCGAGACTCCAACTGGAGCATACACGGCCCCTCGCCTGGAGGTATCGATCTGGTGCCTGCGCCCCGCCACCCCAAGCCCGAGGTGCTGGGCAGCTCTATCGACGGCGCCCTCCTCGTGTCCCTCGACGGTCTCCGCGGCCAGTTTGAGCGCGTGGTGCTGCGCTGGCAGCCTCAGCCCCCCGCAGAGGGCGCTGGGGGGGAGCTGGAGGTGCCGGGCAGCGTGCGCACTGTCAGCCTCCCTGACCTCAGGCCGGGCACCACCTACCATGTGGAGGTCCACGGGGTGCGGGCAGGGCAGACTTCCAAGTCCTACGCCTTCATCACCACCACAGGTAGTGTGGGCTGGGGCCTCACCTACCTTTGGCGTTCACATTCTCCCTCCTGCTGCTTTATTGCTCAGACTACCACCCCCACCCTCTCACCCCTTCCTCAAGCTTCTACCTGACTCAGACTCCAGGGGCTCCTGCAGGAATGCAAGCTCTCCTGAGGACCTAGAAGCCACTTCCACCACCCACCTTCAATCCCACTCATCAGTCCTGGAATGAGCCTGCAAATACCCCAAATCAGGGAGACTCAGGCTCTAGGGTCCCTGATGCTCACGAGGGTTTCCAGGACACTTCATCCTGGATTGCTATTCTAAGCAGTAGGAGCTCATCAAAGGTTTGGAAGGGAGGTGAGGGGACACGTGCTGCAAAGGTTCCTGGAGCAGTTTGGGTGGGATTGGGTCTGAAAACAGTGGTTTCCCATTCTGACTCACACACTGGTGGTGAGAATGACTGAAAACTGTGGTCAGTGGTTACCGTTCCCTACAGTTTGGCCTTGACCTCAAAGGGACAGAATGGAACTACTTGAGGGTGACCTTAAAACCACCAGGCGCATGTGTATGTGGGGATGATGAAACCACTGCTTCTTTCTAGACTCCTTGCGCACTTCACAGTCTCTCCCACAGGAATGGTCTCAGACTGGGATGTGAGGGGGCAGGGGAAGATTGTGGGCCTCTTCTTTCCATGTAGGGCCCAGATGCCACCTGAACTGGACGTGCACCCCACCCCATCTCCTTCCTCTCTCTGTCCACTCTCCTCTTGCATCCACCCTCCTAACACCACCCTCTCCTCCTTTCTTCCAGGCTTTTCACTGCAGCACTAATGGAAGCCACGATCACCACCCAGTGGGGCGGGGGATGTTTGTGTGGAGAGAGACATGGAGATCTGTGGGGCTGTGGTCACAGGACCTTTGGGAGAGCAGAGATCAGGCCTCTGTCACCTGCCCTAAGCAAAGCCTGTCAGCTCATGGGGGTTGGTGCACAGGGCATTTGGGTGACTGGGCAGGGTTTTGGGAGGATGGAGAGACCAGATGGACCCATGAGGGTCTCCAGCCTCTTAGTCTTTAGGACAGAACCCAGGGGCTGGAGGTTCATTTCTGGCCCTCATCTTCGCCTTTCTTGTTTTTTTCACCTACCCCTTCCTAGGATCTTCCTCCTCAGGCTTCTTAGGGGCCACTGATGAGCCTCCTCCCTCAGGACCCTCAACAACACAAGGGGCCCAGGCTCCTGTTGTACAGCAGCGCCCCCAGGAGCTGGCAGAGTTGAAGGTGCTGGGCAGAGATGAGACTGGACGCCTTCGAGTGGCCTGGACCGCCCAGCCCGACATCTTTGACCACTTCCAGCTGCACCTACGGGTGCCCCAGGGGCGGGGGGATCATGAAGAGCTGCTACCAGGGGACATTCGACAGGCCCTGGTGCCCCCACCCCCTCCTGGAGCCCCCTATGAGCTGTTACTTCATGGGATCCACCCTGGAGGCCAGCCCTCTGCCCCCCTCATCTACCAAGGCATTATGGGTACATTTTGGACTCTACTCAGACTAGGATCCTGAGGTTGAGGGAGGAGCCAGGGCCACAGCCATTTAGGACTTCATTGGTGGGATAAGGCTTGAAGGACCAGTGAAGGGCCTGGGCTGATGTTAGGCTGAGTGGAGAAAACAGTTGAGGATTGGTAGGAGAGAGGGGTTCTACGAACTAAGGATGGGATAGGGAGTATCCTGAAAAAAGAAAGGGAAGAACAAATGTCAGGGGAACAGAGATTCAAAGAGATAAGCTATAGGCCCCTGACTTTTCACAGTGCCTCTCCCTGTCTTGTGACCTGCCCTTACTTCCTGATCTCTACTCTGCCTCACCTTGCCCAGCCCTATAAGCCTATTGGAGAAGTGGGAAGGCTTCTGGCCCTGAGGGTCCTCTCTTCCTGCATTTCCCCCACAATCCTATGCTGGACAGGCTGGGACAGTAACTCTGCCCTCTCATCCCAGGAGCCTGGGCTGCAATGGATAGCACCCACAGCCCCCATAGCTATTTTCTGTAGGGTTAGGGTTCCCTTAGGATACAGGCCTCTCTAGCTTATTAGGACTTCAGAGTTGCATGAGGTTTGGGCAACCAGTGAAGAACAGAACCCGAGGTATCTGACTAATTCTCTACTGGTCCATTTTTTTGATGTTTCAGGGCAGCCAGCTCTCCTCTCACCTCTTAAGTCAAACTCACCACTAAGGGAGAGGACAGTAGGGAAGGAGAAGCTCAGGTGATCTAGGAAGGCTTCCATGTGCTCTGAAGCAGCATTTAGGAGACTTGAAACTCTCAACAGACCATGGGGAACTGAAACTTGCCTAAAGATCCTAGGTGGAGAGAGACTGAATGAGATCTTTGTGAAGGATGAAAAAGCTGTGGGAAGGAAAAGACCAAAAGCCACAATTGGAATATTGAGAGTGCTTTTCAGAGGATCTTAAATATTTGTAATTTGTATGTCTAATTAAGCTTGGAGCAATTGCTTTTAATGATCCAGAGATTGGATTTCTATTAAGAAATAATGCTAAATTTGAGACTCTTGGGGGAAACCCCCATCAAATGGTAAAAGAGATAGAAGGGGAAATGCCCCCTTCTACTGGAGGGTTCATCACAGAGGAACATTAGTTGGGGGGAAATGCAGGCCTGGAAGGAGGGAGCTGTCCAGGGGTGGGCAAAGAGGAAGAGGAAGATTAGGGGATGGTAGAGTTCAAGGTTCTTTGCTTTTGTCCCTCACATGACAGACAGAGATGGAGAGACACCACCTTCAGTCCAGCCACGCCTGGGTGAGCTGACAGTGACAGATGTGACCCCCAACTCACTGCTCCTACATTGGACAGTCGCTGAGGGCAACTTTGAATCCTTTGTGATACAGTACAAGGACAGAGATGGGCCCAAGGAGGTGCCTGTGGAGGGGCCCCAGCGCTCACTCCCCATTACCTCCCTGGAACCTGGCCGCAAGTACAAATTTGTCTTGTACGGGCTTATCAGCAAGAAGAGGCATGGGCCTCTGGTCGCTGAAGCCAAGACGGGTGAGTAGCTCTGTCCTCTGCACAGCCCCAAAGGAGGTCTTTCTGGTGCTTTGGGAACTCTAGGAAGGTGACCTGAAAGAGATGCCTAGGTTCAACTGTGAATGGAGAAATGGTGTTAGGCGGGCAACACGGTGGAGGAGGGCAAACAGAGAGTGTCCCTTAGAAGGACTTGCATCATGTGGAGGGCTTAGGGGCCTGTTCTCAGGGTCTTTGTGCAGGCCAAGGGGCTCAGGTCTCATGGAGGGGTATAGGGGTCTTCTAAAGGGTTTTAGGTGGTCAGTAGGAACTACACCACCAGAGCTCTCTTGAAGGGTTTTGAATGAGAGACTGGCATGATTTTGATATTTATTTTGTAAATAGAACTGCAGTAGCTGCTAACGATGCCTAGAGAAGTGAGTTACATGAGCAGGTGAGAAATAATGATGGCTTGCCTGGGATGGTGGCAGGGGGTCAGGTGTGAAAGGTAAGGGGAAATGAGTAAGGAGGCTCAAGCAAACCCCAGGTTTCTGGTTTGACACACTCATTGTCCAAGGCAGCAATGAGCAGTTTGAGAGGCCTATAGGACATTTAGATAAACATCTTTTGAGTGCCGAGTGTCAAATGCATTGAAAATGTTTCAAGTATATTATCACACTTAATTCTGACAGCAGCCTTTTGAGACATTCCCATCTTACAGATGAGGAAAATTGAGGAACAGAGAGACCAGGGTAACGAAGTGTTAGAGTCATGGAGTTACACTGTCATCCCCATGTTGCTGGAGCCCAGAGAGAAGGCCTGAAGAATGTGGGTGCATCAGTGTGAATGGACACTGGGAGGAGAGAAGAGATGGGACCAGGATGAGGGCATCAAGAGGAGAAAAGGCAGAGCCCATGGAGCCCTGAGGACTGCCAACACTCAGGGCAGAACAGGACAAAGAGCCTACGGGGCAGCCTGGGAGGGGTTAAGTGTGAAGGGGCAGAGCCAGGGCGAGTGGTGTCCTGGATCTCAAGATAGAGAGTGCAGTCAGGCATGTCAGATTCTTTAAGGATGATCCAGGAGTACAGTGTCCACAGAACTTAGCAATGTCCAGGTCACCATCGGCCTCCCTGACTGTCTCAGTGGAGAGGTGGGGCTGGAGACGCCCTGGTGGTAGAGCTGTGGTTAGTAATGGAGATGAGTATATGGCTCCAACCCGTGCAGACATCACTTTCTGGAATCTGGGCAGAGAACAGCTGGACGGTGGGGAACAGGAGCAGGTTTCAGTGCTAAAGGCACAGACAACAGAGGCTCAAGGGTTGACGATGCAGGCAGGGGTCATCAAAGCAGATATTCTCAGGAAGGAGGCAGGCAGGAGAAGGAGGGACGGAGGGAGGAGGGAGGATGTGGAGCGCACGTGTGGGCCTCCTTGCCCAGGAGACATCTGGAACCCTCCAAAGGAGAATACTCCGAGAAGAGTGCTACCATTTCTTGGTGGAGAAAACAACTAGTAATTGGGCCTAGAAGCAGCAGAGGCTGTTCTGGAAGAGTTCCCTGGCCAAGGAGATGTGAGAAGGCCAGGCCTCCTTTCCCCAACTGTTGATGGTCATGGCCAGTCTAGTCTACACAGTGCTTTTGTGCCCTTGGAAGAAGCATCCCTTCCTCTAGGTGGACAGAACTCCTCACAGGGCACATGACTTGGCAAGCAGAGTGCTGGCTGGATTTCAGTCCTTGCATGATCCTTTGGTCACACACCTTTGTACCGTGAACAGCCTGCACAACCTTACACAGCATCCATTTGAGAGAGGTGGAGTCCCCCTTCGCGTATAACTTATACCTGTCCTTTTTCTTTGTCCTTCTTTCCAGTGCCTTGGAGTGACCCCAGGCTGGGTTCCCTGCCCCGGCTAGGGAAGTTGTGGGTGACAGACCCCACCCCAGACTCCCTTCGCCTATCCTGGACTGTCCCTGAAGGCCAGTTTGACTCCTTCGTGGTCCAGTACAGGGACAGGAATGGACGGCCCCAGGTGGTACCAGTAGAAGGGCCTGAGCGCACAATGGTTGTTTCGCCCCTGGACCCTGACCACAAGTACAGATTCACTCTATTTGGAATAGCCAACAAGAAGCGGCATGGTCCCCTCATAGCTGACGGCACCACTGGTGAGTGGTAGCCACCCAAGCCTCTGTGTGTCCCCTCCTGGCCCTGTGCATGCTTGACCTCAGCCAGGAAACCACTAGGCCTCCCAGCAAGGCTGCTGACTTGGCTGTCCTGGCCCCACTCCCAGACTGAGGGGCCTCCAGCCTCCTTCCCGCCCCTGCTTGCTGAACGCTTGCCATCCATCCAACCACTCCCCAGGACCCAGAGGTGTGTCACACCCTGGCTGTGCCAGCTGCCTAAAAGCTTAGTACTCAAAGTGATGAAATACTGACACCCTTCCCCCTCAAGATGTGCCGTCTTGTCCAAGCCCCAATTCAGACCATTTCAGCTCTGGTTATATCCTCTTTCTACAGCTCCAGAGAGGAAAGAGGAGCCCCTCCACCCCGAATCCCCCAGGCAGCCGCTCCTGGGGGAACTGACTGTGACTGGAATCACCCCAGACTCTCTGCGCCTGTCCTGGACGGTGGCCCAGGGCCCCTTTGACTCCTTTGTTATCCAGTACAAGGATACACAAGGGAAGCCCCAGGCAGTGCCCGTTGGTGGGGATGAGAATGAGGTCACCATCCCTGGCCTGGAGCCCGCACGGAAGTATAAGATGAACCTCTATGGGCTTCGAGGCAGGCAGCGTGTGGGGCCTGTGTCTGTTGTGGCTGTGACAGGTGAGGGCTGCCAGGGCCTCCCCCACTAGCTTCCAATCCTCTTCTGAGCGGGCTCAGACCCAGGGCTCCGACAGATCTCACCTTCTCTTTGGTCTGACTCTGTCAAAGCCTCCTTTCTCTTTCTGCCTCAGTTGTTTCCAGTCTTCCATAGTCTAGACCCCTTGTCCAAGCTCTAATTGCTTTCCTGGCCCCACTTCCTCTCTGAAGGAGTTTCCCCTCCATCTAGGCTGAACTACCCACAGACCATCCTCTCTTGCTATGGATTTTGCTGGGTTCTTTCTACTGTGGTCATTTCTGAGCTGCTTTGGTCTGCTCCTCACACCCATTGCTGTTCTGCTTGGAGCCAGCAGGTTCCAGGGACAAGAGCACCTCTTCCCTCCATCTCTTTTTAGGGTGAAGAGAGCTCCTCTTTCACTTGACTGACCATGTCCCAGCCAGCTTAGAGCCAGGCTCTGCTGGCCCCTGAATGGCTATCCACTTCATCCAGCACCCACTCCACTCTCCATGTCCCCATTTCTTGTCCTGTGTTGTGTCCCTAGCACATGGGGAAATGTAGCATTGAGGTTGCTACAGCAAGAGGAATTGTAGCATTATGGTTGTGAGTAGCTTCTGAAGCTTAACTGACTGGGTTCTAATCCCAGCTATGACTCTAACTGTGGTACCTGGAGGAAGTTCTTTTAATATCTCTCAGCCTCAGCTTTTACTTCTGTCAAATGCAAATAATATTTTTAAATTTAAAAAAATAATAATAAACTACTTTATAAGTGGAACTGTTGTGGTCTAGCAGGTAGGAAGTTATGCTGCCAACTCAAAGGCAGGCTGTTCAAATCTACCAGTTGTTCCATGGGAGGAAGATGGGCAGTCTCCTCTTATGTAATTTACAGCCTCTGAAAACTGAGTAGATTCTGACTCAATAGCAATGAGTTTGAGGTTGGTTTTACTTTTTAGATTAGTTTATAAATTGCTAGGGTTAAATGAGTTACTCTGTGAATAGCATCACGTACATTGAATCTGTTATTTAAATATTATCCACTGTTGGTCCTCAAGCCACTCACTCTCCAGGAATCATTTTCTTCTCACCTCTGTACCCTCCCTATCCTTTCCTGAGTTTCTTGCCTGCTTTCCCTCTGGATCTCTTCTCCCTAAAGGTCCTCCTTGGACAGAGGAACAGATCACAGAGGGCTCTGTCTTCTCCACTTCTCCACCTCACAGAGGCCCTGCTCCCAGTGAGCAAAGGCCTAGAGCTAGGTGGTGGTGGATACTTCCCACAGCAGCCTGATCTGAGGAGTCAGCTGAGGAGAGCAGGGCCCTCTGTATATCCCACCTCTCTCTAAATCGTTCTCCCACGCCTCTAAGCCCTGCCTTGGCAATCTGTTCCTTGAGGTTAAAGAGAAAGTAGGGTAGGGCCTCGTGGGAGGTCTTAGCAGAAAAACATTCCAATATCCTAACTTGGTCAGAGGGATGGGAACAGTTGAAAGCCTTGAGGAGGGGCAGAGTCCGAGGTGGGGAATCCAGCTTCAACTCTCCATCCCCCCTCAGCCTGCACCCCACTGTCTATGAATACAATATAGAAGACATACCCAAATGTTTCTTCTTAGCTCCTTTGGAAGATAAAATGGAAGAGACCCCCACTCCTACAGAGCCCACCACAGAGGTCCCAGAGACTCCCGAGGAGCCCCTCCTGGGGGAGCTGACAGTGACAGGATCCACCACTGACTCGCTGAGCCTCTCCTGGACCGTCCCCCAGGGCCACTTTGACTCCTTCACTGTGCAGTACAAGGACAGGGACGGGCGGCCCCAGCTGGTGCGTGTCGGGGGTGAGGAGCGTGAGGTGACCGTGCAGGGCCTGGAGCCCGGGCGCAAGTACAAGATGAACCTGTATGGCTTCCATGAGGGGCACCGTGTGGGCCCCAAGTCTGCCATGGGCATGACAGGTGAGTAAAGGGGGCACCTGGGCCTGGTTCAGTTTCTTCCCCCTACTTCCCCCAGCCTCCATGGATGGTCATGCTCTTCCTCCCCTGGAACCTCAAGTGTTTATGTGATTAGAGAAAACAGAGCAAGTTATTGGGACTGCACCAGCAGTACAGCCTTGAACATGCTTTAAGCTTTATGAGCTTCATTTCTTCACTTCTAAAACGGGATGACGGTTCCCACCTCACAGGATTGTTGAGAGGATTAAATGAGGCGACAGACTCAAGGCACTGAGAATGAACCTGACACAGTGTTTGCCACCATAAGTATCATTATAGTCCTCCTACTCTAGCATCTCCTCTGTCCCTTTTGGCTGCTTAGTTGGTCAGAGTGTACATAAGACATCAGCCTCTTCCTCAGTGTAGCTCAAAATTTTTTTTACAGCAAAGAGAAATATTCTCTCACCAGCCTTGGTGGGCCCAGTCACAGAGCCACTTCAGCAAGTACCCTCCCTTCACACCTCCTCATAGAGCCTCAGCCTAGTAGGCAAGGCCTCAGGTGGTTTGGGTTTGGTGCATCCTCCAGGCTTTGGGGACCCTCCTGCAGATCAGCACAGCTTGATGACAGCAGTATATCTTTTCCCCTATGTTCACTGGAACAGGCATACCTTTTCTCTCTTTCTTTGCGTGTGTGTGTCTTATTTATAAAACAAAATTAAGGTCACATCACAGCTGACCTAAAGACATGTATTGTTTGTTCGCGTGAAGTCTGTTGATAGGTGGTTAGGCATTACTCAGCAGTGCAGTGATATCATCAAGGATCTCACTTTTCTTATTATCTTATTGATCATGGTTTTGAGATGGCTACTTCAGCTCTAAATATAACCTTCCAAAGACAGTGTGCAAAGGAAAGCAGAGAAAAGCTAAAGTGCTTTCTATCTGTGTAGAATTTCACTTCTGCTTCTCTGCAAGTTTCCTGACAGACTTTCCGTTCCACCTCATTTTCCAGAACTTGGTCACCCACTCATCCAAATCACCAGTCAAAGGAGGACAGAACTGCCATTTTGGGTTTCAACCCATCATGATTCCTCCCCTTGTGGTGGATCTAATTCTGCCCAAGTAAAATTAGAATTCTGATATCTAGGAAAAAGGGGTAGAGAGGCTGGGGTGGCAGTGTCTGGCACAAAACTTACATACCCTGAAGCATAATTGTTAATTGCCATCAATTCATTTCCAACTCATGGCGATTGTGCAGAAAGATATACCTTTTAAAAACTAACTCGTACTATAAAGTAAAATATTCCAGAACCTTTTATACCGATTCCTTTGCCTTTGCCAATACTGGGAGGACAGAAAGAGGAAAACTACTGAGTCCCTCAGGACCTGATATAGCATGGAAGCTCAAACCAGGCCCGGAACATGCTGCTGAGGGTTCTCCTGGGGTGACCCTTATTCTGCTTCTCTGTCCTAGCAGCCACATGAATCTCCATGAGTCCTCAGGGTAAGATTGGGTTCTGTCAGGATTGACTGAGGAGGTGTTTTAGAGAAAAATTAGTTTGGAGATCTAACAAAGTAAGCTTCATTCTGGCTTCCCAGGGGAAAAATGACTAATTTTGCCTGGGAAATTTTGAAAAAAAAGTTCCCTCCCCTCTTTAAACTTCCTCATCTTCAACATGGAGTAAACAAAGCCATTTGGTTACAACATAGTGCTGTGAAATACTTCATTCAAATGCATTCATTTAGACTTTGTTTTTAAAACTGCCTGGGGAAAAATCACTGTATGGCCATGTTCAGATACTAGATATCTTTAAGACATGAATCTGGATAAAATTTAAGTGGTCTTTTAAGAAAGAATGGAGCACCCGTGTTAATTCTCACAACAGCAGGTAGGAAGCAGCAGAACTGACAGATTCCTCACACAAAGCACATGATGTTGCCTGGAGAGCAAATGCAGGGAGCTGGCTAGAAACACTTTTGAATTAGAAAAGAGTTGTCTTAAATGCTACGTATAGACTGTCATGCTTGTGGGTACTTCTGATCTCACTTTTTCCAGTTAAGCCAAGCTGTCAGTGAGGAAGGCTTGATGAGAAGGAAGTTTCTCTCCCTCTTGGATGGGCATTTGTTGTTGTTTGTTAGTTGCTGTGAAGTTGACTCTAACTTGTGATGACTCTGTATATATAATAACAAATGCTGCTCAGTCGTATGCGTTTTGATAATCATTGGTATGTTTGAGTTCATTATGGCTACTGTGTCAGTTTATCCCATCAAGGGTTTCCCTCACTTTTGTTGACCCTTCACTTTACCAAATCTGGTGTAGAGTGATCTGTCCTTTCTTGTGGTACCACCAACATAAGCCAGTTGGAATCTTGGACAATACTCTGTTATCTGAAGGTTTTCATTGGCTAATTGTTTTTGGAAATAGTTCTCCAGGCCTTTCTTCCTAGTCTGTTCTAGTCCAAGAAGCGCCATTGAAACCTAGTCCCTGTGAGTGACCCTGCTGGTATTTGAAATGCTGGTGGCACTGCTTGTAGCATTATAGCAACATTCAAGCCACCACAGTTCATTCAATAAACTGACAGATAAGCAGTGGACAAGGACGTACAGAGGCTAAAAATGAGCAGGAAAAGGATACTACAGGAACTAATAAAGCTAGCAAACAATAAAAGAAAATGCCTGACCTAAGGCCAGCACATCATAGATGCGTAATAAAACAGACAAACAAAAATGAAATCTGTTGCTATCAAGTTGGTTCCAATTCATAGCCGACTATTCAGCCCTGGGTGGTACAAATGGTTTGCCCTTAACGATTAACCTAAAGGTTGATGATTCGAACTGCAGAAGAAAAGTCTAACAATTTGCTTCCATAACTATTACAGCCAAGAAAAACCTGTGGAACAATTCTACTCTGTAACCTATGGGGTTGTCCTGAAGCACATGATTAATTTAGCCTCTCCATCCCCAACTTCGGCTTTCATTGTAGCTTCTTCCATCCCTGTCAGCCTGAAACCTCACTGGTCCACAGTGTTGTACTAGTTGGATTTCAAGCAGATCTCTCTGAGTCAGACAAACAAACTCTTGGGAGTCACATCCACCCAGCCAGTCCACCAGTGGTCCTCTGGGACCACTCTCCCGATTCTGTCACTGGTGAGAGGTGCCTCTGAGACTCAGCTCCTTCTGGGGCAGTGAGGCCAGAGGTTCTGCAGCTCAGCCTTCTCCAACCCAGACTTACAGACTGTCCACTAGCTTTACCCACTGGTGTCAAGTTTGTTCTGACTCAGGTTATCAGGTTTTCACAGCTGTCAGTCTTTATGGGAGGAGACTGCCCATTTTTGTCCCACAGAGAGGAGCTGGTAGATTTGAACTGCTGACCTTCAGTTAGCAGCACAACACGTAAAGCACCTTTCCACCAGAGCCCCTTCACTAACTTTAAAAATTATTTGACGTTGTGTTGAGCATGTACACAGCAGAGTATTCACCAATTCAACTGTTTTTCCATATATGATTCTGTAACACTGAATACATTCCACAAGTTGCAAACCACTTTCATCCTGCTCTTCCAAATTGTTCCTCCACCAGGAGGATAAACTAGCTCCTAAGTTATTGTTGCTGTTTATGCTTTCATGTGGCTGTGACTCAGAGCGATCCTTTGAACAATGGATGGGAACTATCCTGCACCATCCTCCTCCTCTCTGACATACTCAAGCCCATTGCTGCAGTCATTATATCAATCCATCTTGAGGGGCCTCCTCTCTTGCTCTGACCCTCCACCCTTCCCAGCATGATGTCTTTTTCCAAGGACTGATCCCTCCTGACAGTATGCGCAAAGTATGTGAGATGGAATTTTACCATCCCTTCTCCAGGCTGCTCACCAATTCAGCACATGTTGATCGAGCACCTTCTGTGGAGCGAGTGGTTCCTGGAGACACAGCCGTGAACAGGGCCACATCTCCACCTGACAGCTCAGGTTCTGGTGGAGGGAGATGGGTAGCAGGGTGCACCCACCTGTCTGTCCTCTTATCAGTGAGGCTGTAAGTTAAAAGTTGTGGGGAAAACAACACCCAGTAGATAAAACGGTGAGTGTGTGCAAGTCAGAAACAAGGCTTTGCTGAGACGGTGTCAGCTGAGGAAAGACCCAACAGAGGTGAGTTGACAAGTTTCATAGGGACTTTAGTGAAAAAAAAAAAAAACAAATGCAGGTGGTAGGTAGCAGGCTGGGAGATGTGGTGGCCAGCTGTGGATCAGCAGGAACTGGAGTGGAGGGAAGGCTGTGAGGGGCTGACTATGGGGCCTTGTAGGTCACTGTAAGTCAAGTAACAGAAGCAATTCATAGCCGACCTTCCTGCAGGTTTTCAGAGGCTGTAAGTCACATGGAAGGAGATTGTCCATCTTTCTCCCGTTTAGTCTGCTTGGCTCCATGGTCAACACTCTTGGCGCCAGTAGCCAGGAAATCAAAACACGCATTGCGATGGGAAAGCCTGTGGTTAGGGACCTCTCCAAAGTACTAAAGAGCAATAGTGTCACTCTGGAGACTGAGGTGTGTCTGATACAAGCTATGGTCTTTGCAATCACTTGTTATGCATCAGAGAGTTGGACAATGACTAGGGAGGATAGAAGGAGAATTGATGCCTTTGAGCTGTGGTGCTGGAGAAGAGTATTGAATGTACCATGGACTGCCAAGAAAACAAACAGATTCATTCTGGAGAGGGTTAAACCAGGCTGCTCCTTAGAGGCAAGGATTCTGGGGCTTCGTCTGACATACTTTGGACATGTTGTAAGGAGGGACAGGTCCTTGGAGAGGGACATCATGCTTGGGAGGGTGGAGGGATGGCGCAAGACAGGAAGACCCTTTATGAGGTGGATTGATTCAGTGACTGGGGTAATCGGGGTGGGTGTCAGGGGCAATGTGATTGGCACAGGATAGAGCAGAGTTTAGGGCTGCTGTACACAGGATCGCTATGAGTCACAAGTGGCTCAACAGCACGTAACAACAACAACAACAACCTTTTAGCTTGGCAGCACAGTTCCTTACCCACTAGGCCACTGGAGTTCCCTAGGTCATTGTAAAGACCAGGCTTTTACTCTGAGGCAGATGGAGCCAGTTTAAACCCTTTTGGCAGTTGCGGTGGGTCATGGATTGGACAGTGAAGGGGTGTGTGTGAAGGCAGAGAAAAGGGGTGACTTTGAAGCTATTTAGATAGTCTAGCTAGGGAAGGTGGTGCCAGGAGAGGATGCTGAGGGATGAGATTTGAATATCATATCAATGAGATGTACTCACAGACTGGATGTGACTGGGAGAGGTCTCAGAGGTGACATGAGGCTTCTGGCCTGAGAAGCTGGAAGTTGGAGTTGTTATTTTACTGAGACAGGGAACGCTATGGGGAGCTCATGACTCAGTTTGGGACTTGTTGGGTTTGAGTGATGGGTGTCTACGGAAAATAGTGCTGATGGCAATTAGTTTTAAATTGCTGAATGACCTCTCACAGCTGGATATGGAAAGTGTGATCAGGGACAGAAACCACTCGTTGCCACCCCCCTCAAGTGGCATCCACTTATGGTCATATCTGCCATGCCCTAGATAGACCTTTGGGGCATCCAGGGAAGAAGCTGGGCCGTAGAGTGTGGGGCTCAGGGGACTTGTCTGGACAAAGAAGTATGAATTTAGAGTGATGGGCATACAGATGGTCTCTGTGACAGCTGACAGCCCACCTCTACAGTGCACAACTCCAGGCACTTGGAAGGGACATTGAGCAGGATTAGTGGCCAGATTAGCTAATCAGTATAGTTTTACATAAAATCCATCTTGTAGGTAGGTACTGCAAGAAAACTACAGAATAACTGCCAAGAGAAATGAGAGTCTTTTCCTAACACCTCCCCCACCTCTGTCACAGCCCCACAACGGAAAGAAGAGGCTCCTCCAGCCACTGAGTCCCCCCAGGAGGCACGTATGGGGGAGTTGACAGTGACAGATGTGACCTCCGACTCTGTGGGCCTCTCCTGGACTGTCTACGAGGGCGAATTCGACTCCTTCACGGTCCAGTACAAGGACAGAGATGGGCAGCCCAAGGTGGTGTCGGTGGCCGCAGACCAACGCGAGGTCACCATCCCTGACCTGGCGCCCTCCCGCAAGTACAAGATCAACCTCTACGGAATCCATGATGGACAACGTGTGGGTCCCTTCTCTGTGGTCGCCGTGACGGGTGAGTGAGGGGAAAAGAGGCTCCAAGAGCTCTCTTCCCAGCCCTCCTCAGCCACTACCTTTTAGATACAGAGGGGCTGGGCCCTTCAGGTCCTGCCTCAGTGACCCCACAAGTCCTTCCCCACCCCCGGGCTCCTCCCCAAGGCTGGACCCCGCCCCGCCTCCCAGCTCCTTCCTCATCCCCGCCCAGCTTCTCCAGGGTGGGAACGAGTCCCTTCCATCTGACCTACATCCAGCACGCAGACACTCTGATTGTTTACAGCTGTTTCTTCCTTTGCTCTTTACAACTCTGACTTGGACATGGCTGCCACCTCCGCCTGTCATGCTTTTTAATTGTGGTTAAACAACACACAGTTAGGATCTTTTCTCAGAGAACCTCACCCGCCTCACTCTGGCTGCATTTCTCTCAGCATCCTTCTGGGTTGCCGCCCTCTCTCCACAGTCCTTCCTGCCCTGAGTGGCTTCCCTGGCACAGGCCCTCACCATCTCCAGCCATGCATCCGGGGAAAGCCACAGAACCTTCTCAGAACATTGCTTCTAAATCTAGGAAATAAAATTCAAAGGATGGCAAAAGAAACTAGTTACACCGATAATGACAATTCTCAAAACACTTTGTAAAACTCAACATTTGTGATTTAATAAAAAGTGGCCCTCTTTATAAAGGAGCCTGGGTGGTACAAAGCAGTTTGTACTCAACTACTAACCTAAAGGTGTGCAGTTCAAACCCACCCACCTGCACTGCAGAAGAAAGGCCTGGTGATCTGCTCCCATAAAAATGACAGGCAAGCAGTTCTTCTCTGTGACACACAGGGGAGGGGGGTCATTGGGAGTCAGAATTGACTCATTGACAATAGGATTCACTTTGGGGCTTGGACTTCTTTATTAGCTCACTTATTAACAAGATTTAACAGTTTAATAAACAATGGCTATGAGTGTATGTGATTTTTAGAAGTTTCTGCAGCCATTCTAAGGTGATGTGAAAGTGTATTGGTGACAGTCACAGGTACTGCTTATACTGCTAACTGATTTCCTCCAGTTCACACACTGATAATACCATTTTTCAGGTAGAGGTCTGTAATAAAAAGATAGAACTGTTTCTCATCTCAGGCTGTAGATTCCTTGAGGCCCATGGAGCCTAGGAGTCTGTGATGGGCGAATTCTTCCCTCAGAAATCTCAGCTATTTTCTTTGTCTTCCCCATCACAGCTCCTCTTCCACCAGCCCCAGCCACAGAAGCACCTGAACGACCCATGGAGCCCCGTCTGGGAGAGCTGACAGTGACGGATGTGAGCTCTGACACTGTGGACCTTTCCTGGACGGTCCCTGAGGGCGAGTTCGACTCCTTTGTGGTCCAATACAAGGACAGAGATGGGCAGCCCCAGCTGGTGCCCGTGGCCGCAGACCAACGTGAGGTCACTGTCCCCGACTTGGAACCCTCCCGCAAGTACAAGTTTCTGCTCTTTGGGATCCAGGATGGGAAGCGACGAGGCCCAGTGTCTGTGGAGGCAAAGACTGGTGAGAGTCCTCCATGTGGCCTTCCGACCTCCTTCACACCGTGCGTTCCTCTTGCTCTCCCAGAGCTTCCCTTGTCCACCTCTACCTCACAGTTTCTCTTGGAAAGTCCTGCTGCCTGCCCCTTCCAAGGCAGAAAAGGACAGAGACCCTGTTTCCAGGGCTGCTGTCTTCTGCATCTTTTCCTCTGCTGTTATAACTTCCCCCTCTGTAGAGTAGGTAGGGAAAGCTCTTTGGGCCCTTTCCTGGAGTTTGGAATGGGAAGGCTGGGGCAGAGGTATGATATATCTAGGGTACGGCAGGTATGGCACATGAGCAAGTCCTATATGAGCAAGGCCATCGAATTTCCCATCACCAACTGTGAGAGACCATTGAGCAGTTTCAATCTAAGAGTCATCAGTGCTGTATTCCATGATGCACTTCAGGGCTGGGGACACTGGGAAAAGGACCATTGAGGGGACTCTGCCTCTCAGGGTCACATGGAGCTTCAGCCCCCTGTAGCCATCACCTCTAAGGGGTTTACTGCCTCTCCTCTAGCTCCCGACCATTGTGACTCACTCAGGTACTATGACTCATCTGGTCCCATGTCTGCCTTTCCTAAACCCCCTTTCTTACTCTGTCCTGTTTCTGGAGCCTCAGAAACTAGAACCAGAGGAACCCTGGCTGGCTGCCCAGCCCGGCCTGCCTGGCCCAGTCTATCTATGCCCCTTTCCTAGGGTTTGGTCCAGGCCCTCCCCTGTCCCTGGGGGCTCCCTTTTGCCAGAAAACTCTTGCAATAACAATGCCGTCAGAGTCCTCACTATCCAGGAAGGCAGCAGGCCAGCACCTTCCCAGGCCCCAATGGCTCCATGGGCAGACAGCCATCCTTTCCCTGTCTGAGCGCCCGTTTCACCCTGCCACACCAGTCACAGGCAGCCCCTGTTCTTCCCCTAGGCCTTGTAGAATTCTCATTCCCAGGGTACAGCCAGTGCTGCATGAGAAAGGGATGAGGCAGAGCCAAGCTGACATCCATCATAACTCCTTCCTTCCCTACCTGCACTCTGCCCCTATCAGAAACCCTCTGCCCCTCTGACTTCTCCCAGACCCTAGGATCTCTCCAGGAGCCAGTCAAATCCCAACATAAGGGCGTCTGGCTGAAAGGAAACAGATAAGTCCTGTGTTGAGCTGCACCTGCAGATAAATAGTCTCTAGCTAGTGGGAAGAGCTGTTAGAGAGGGAAGCTGCTGCAGGGTCTCTTTCCCTAGAGAAATCTCAAGACAGAAGTCCACTCCCCACACTAGTCTGGTGGAGAGGTCTGTGCCAGCTGGAGCTGGTATCAAGGACAGGAGAGCAGTGGAAACACTTTGGGGGCACACTGATTATTTGGGTAATTCTGGATTTTTTCCAACCTCAGGGGGAGGCAATCAGGGAGTTATTTTGGAAATAAATACAAGAACCTTTCATTTCTGTCAGCTGCCCAAAGTGCCGACAGCTCAGGAGCCTCACCCCGTCTTGGGGAGCTATGGGTGACAGACCCCACCCTGGACTCATTGCGCCTCTCCTGGACAGTCCCCGAGGGCCACTTTGACTCTTTTACGGTCCAGTTCAAGGACAAGGATGGGCCGAGGGTGATGTCCGTGGAGGGCCACCAGCGCTCAGTCACTGTCAGCCCTCTGGACCCTGGTCGCAAATACCGGTTCCTCCTCTATGGCCTCCGGGACAAGAAGCGTCATGGCCCCCTCAGCGCTGATGGCACAACTGGTGAGCTGAACTGGGTCCCCTGTATGCTTTCCTCTGCTCCCCTGAGGTCTCCCACAAAAGAGAGCCAGCCTGCTGCCAGGCCAGTGGTCACCTGTGACAGTTCCCAAGTGGTGGCCATTTGACCCCAGTCCTCTTGGCTCAGATCTAGCTCCTCCAAGCCCTGCATAAGCACCTACCCTGTTGGAGTTCAGCTGCCACCAAGCCCTGCCTCCAGGCACTTGGGTGCTGTCCTCAGAGGTCACCCAGTCCAGGAAAAGTATAGTCATTCCCCTCCCCCATATCTCCATTCTCAGAGCCCCAAAGAGCTGCTGTGGATGACACTTTAACAAAGCATCCCCCAAAGCCTCGTCTGGAGGTTAAGGTGCAAGTGACCAGTGTGACCTCAGATTCTGTGGGCCTTATGTGGATGGTCCCCAAGGGCGAGTTTGACTCCTTCTGGTTCAATACAGTGATAAGAATGGGCAGCCCCAGGTGGTGCCTGTAGAGGGCAACCTTAGGGAGGTCACTGTTGCTGGCCTGGACCCTGCCCATGACTGTATGCTCCTGCTCTGTGGGCTGCATGGTGATGGGTGTGTGGGTCCCATCATCGCCACCATCATGACTGGTGAGTGGGCTGTGGCCGGGACACCCCTCACCTCCTTCCTCACCTTGGCTTCTTGCTCTTGCTGAGCCCAAACCATTCCGGAGCTTCACGTAGCCCTTATTTGGGGAATGGTTCTGTTTTCTTTTTGTTTTTATCATAGTAGAAATGTCTATAGCATAAGAGTTGTCAATTCAACATTTAAAAAATATAAAGTGAAGATATATGTAGTAAAACACACTCCCCACGTGTTCAAGTCAGTGGCGCTGACTACATTCTTCATATTGTGCACCAGGTCTTGCTCTCCTTTTGCAAATTATTCCACCACCATGAACATAAGCTCTCTGTCTGCTAAACCCAAGTACCCTCTTTCCCCCTCCTCCCTCATTCCTTGGTAATCATGCATAAGTTTTTGTTTCTGTCATTTGCTTAGAGCTCTGCTGGTGTGTTTGTAACTTTTTTGCTGCTATCGAAAAAGGTTGGCAGTTCAAATTCACCAGCTACTCCAAAGGAGAACAATGAGGCCATCTGTTTCCATAAAGATTGGACATTTATGGGCAGTTCTGCTCTATCCTGTGAGGTCATTCTGAGTCAGAATGGACTCAGTGACAGTGGCTTTGATATATTTGCCCATTTCATACAAGTGATATTATACTTTAATTTGTCCTTTTGTGACTAGTTCATTTTGCGTAGAAGAATGTCTTTCAAAGGTCATTCACGCATTGTGTAGTTCAGGACTTAATTCTCTTTATGGCTTTGTAATAATCCATTGTGTATTTGTTAAACCACATTTTGGTTTTCTGTTTCTCTGTTGAAGGGCATTTCAGCTGTTTCTACCTTTTTCTTAGTGTGAATAGTGCTGCAACAAATGTTGATGCTTGCATCTGCCATTCAATATTTTTGTATTGCAATTCAGTGACACTGTTTATGTCCATTGTGTGGTGCAATCATCATGTGTGTATGTTGCCAAAATTTTCATCATCTTTAACCAGTGAGATCACCATTAGTAAGGCATCATTCTGTACCAAAAATTCACCCATTATAAGTCAGCAGTATGATAAGTTTTAGCAAATGAAACCAGATAGAATTGAGATAGAAAATATTTCCATCCACCCAGTAAGTTTCCTTTGCAGTCCATCCCCATAACCCCAGCCTCTGGCAACAACTCCTCTGGTTTCTATTTATAATAATGAATGCCTTTCTAAGAGTGCCATCTAACTTGTAGAGCCATGTGACTTGCAGGCTTTTACACCTGGCTTCTTGCACTTTGAGATCCTTGAATGGCACAAATAGTTTGCACCTAAATAATAACCAACAAGTCAACAGTTCAAACCCATGCAAATAATGGCACTGCTGCAGAAAGGCTTGGCAAGCTGCTTCTGTAAACACTGCAGCCTGTGAAACCCCAGTTCTACTCTGTTAACATATGGAGTTACCATGAGTTGGAATCCACTCATTGGTGGCAAGTTTGCTTTGTTTTATGTTTTATTACACTTTATGTGATGTTTGTAGATCAGCAATTGGTTCTATTGCCTGCACTGTCTTCTACCTCTTCTCCTTGAGGGTCTTAAAGCAGCGACAGACTCATCAGCCACATCTGCTGCCTCTAAGCCAGACCGAAGGGAAGGACAGAGACTTGACCCAGAGCCTTTACAGTGGCTGAGTCCCACTTAGGGTTGCTGACCATGGAGAAGGCCAGATTCTGCACCCTTCATCTTCCAGGGTGGGGGACCTTTAGCTGAGGGATGTAGGACACAAGCCCAAGGAAAGCAGTCCTTGCAGACACCCTGCTCAAGCTCTTCTCTTCATGTCTCTGTTCAGTTCCCCAGGAGGAGGAGGATGAACCTTCAGAACCACCCACGGTCCTCCCCGAACCTCCCTTCAAGCCACGCCTGGAGGAACTGACAGTGACTGATGCCACACCTGACTCCCTGAGCCTGTCCTGGATGGTCCCCGAGGGCAACTTTGACCACTTCCTGGTCCAGTACAAGAATGGGGATGGACAACCCAAGGTGGTGCGGGTGCCAGGACATGAGGACAGTGTTACCATCTCAGGCCTGGAGCCGGACCACAAGTACAAGATGAACCTGTATGGCCTCTACAATGGCCAGCGTGTGGGCCCTGTCTCTGTCACTGGAGTAACTGGTGAGTGGAAAGTGGAGACCCTGGAGTAAGATCCAAAGAGAAAGTCACTCTTCTAGTTATGTTCACTGTAATACCTTTGTGCTGCTTCCTCTGGCTCCCTGAAGTCTGATTCCTCTTGGGAAGAGAAAGGAAATAATGAGCTGTGCTGGTAGCTACGACCTGCTCCCCAGCGTGATCTGGGTCTCTTGGCACATTTGTGAATTGTTGACCAAGCATGACCCCAACCCAAATAAGGCTTCTCTGCACTGACCTCAGGACCCAAGTTATGACCATGGCTTCTCTGAAGACCCAAAACACTCTGACAGAACCTCTCTGTGTCTCCCTTCTCAGCTCCAGAGGAAGACACCCCTGCAGAGCCCACCACAGAGACCTCAGAGCCCTCAGAGGAGCCTCTTCTGGGGGAGCTGACAGTGACAGGATCCACCACTGACTCGCTGAGCCTCTCCTGGACCATCCCCCAGGGCCACTTTGACTCCTTCACCGTGCAGTACAAGGACAGGGACGGGCGGCCCCAGCTGGTGCGCGTCGGGGGTGAGGAGCGTGAGGTGACCATTCAGGGCCTGGAGCCCGGGCGCAAGTACAAGATGAACCTGTACGGCTTCCATGAGGGGCAGCGTGTGGGCCCCAAGTCCACTGTGGGAAAGACAGGTAAGAAGTGAAGTATTTCTGAGTTAAGCCTTGAGAACACTCTTTTGTTAATTCTCCTTTATCTCCTCTGTGGGACCCATGGTCCTGAAGCCATCACACTGCACCCTTGTCCACCCGCATTTCGGAAGTATGATGTGGGGTAGAGAGAACAAATCCTAAGTAGCAGGCCTGTCTGAGAGAGGTCACTGGGGATGAGGCCTCCAAGATGGGTTCACTCACCCATCTGTGCCTCTCTGCCCTCCCCAAAAACACGAGAGAACTCCTTTTATGGGTTTGGAACAGATGCCATGAACATTAATTAATCCAACATGTTTTATACAAAATGTCAAGCACATAAACAAAGAGACAGAGTGTGTGATGAATCCCATGTAGCCATCACCCCGTTTCAACAATGGTCAGCATCTAACCAGTCTGGTGCCTCTCTACCCGTAACCACTTCTCACCCTTCCCCAGTAAAAATTTTTATTAACAGTTGTCCCTAGGTATAATTTATACACCATAAAACGTCTGTGTTGAGTATGCATTTCAATACATTTTAGTCTATATACAAAGTTGTGTGGCCATCACACAAGTTCTAATTTTAGAACTTTTCCATTACCTGCAAGAGAAACTCCCTGTCCATCCCATTCTTAACCCAAACTAAATCAACTGCCATTGAGTTGTTCCTGGCTTATTAGGCACCCCCACTGGGTCTCTGAGGCTGTAATTATCAATGGAAGGAATCATAAGTGTCCTTTGGTGTCATGCTGCTTTCACCCTGCATCTTGCTTTTGAGGTTCATCCACCTTGTAGCATGTGTCAGTACTTTGTTCCTTTTAATGCTAACAAGTGTTCTATTGTACGGATATACCGCTGGAATATTTTAAAACAATTCCTCAACGTGGTGTACTTTTATCAGATAAAAAATAAAAAATGGGGGAGGAACAAGGAAAGAGACTTTGCTTTAAAAAATAACCACAATATAATTGTCACACATTTAAAAATGAACACCTATTTCATGGTATTAGCAACTAAGGAGGGCTGTAGTCTCATGACCCTATCATAATGGTTTTTTCAATTTGTGTCTAGAATCAGGTTGAGATAAGGAAGAGACATTGCAGTTGGGGCACTGGAAGTTTAATTAAGGGAAGCATCAAGGAAAAAGTGACATTTGAGCAAAGACCTTAAAGTGAAAGGAGCCAGACATACCTGGGGAGGGAGCAGTCAGTGCAAAGTCCCTGGGGTGGGAGGCAGCCTAGCACATTTGAGGAATGGCAAGGAGGTCAGTGGGATTGCCACACAAAGAGTTGAATGATGATAATTAGAAATGAATCTTCAGGAGAACTGGGACTTCAATAGCAACTTCTAGGCACTGGAAGGATTCTGTTTGCATCTCTCCCTAGTCCCTGAGGAGGAACTCGCAGCTTCTGAAGCCCCACCTCCCACGGCTTCCCAGAGCCTTCAAAAGCCACCCCTGGAGGAGCTGACCATCACTGATGCCACCCCCAACTCCCTGACCTTGTCCTGGACAGTCCCCGAGGGCCACTTTGACCACTTTCTGGTCCAGTACAGGAATGGGGATGGGCAGCCCAAGGTGTTGCGGGTGCCAGGTCATGAGGATGGAGTCACCATTACAGGCCTGGAGCCGGACCACAAGTACAAGATGAACCTGTATGGCTTCCACGATGGCCAGCGTGTGGGCCCTGTTTCTGCCATTGGTTTGACTAGTGAGTATGAACTAGGGCACTGGGCCTTCTCCAGGTTGGCCTGTTTCCCTTTTATTATCATGGCCTGTTTTCTGTGTCCCACTTTCCCTGAAACCGAGCCTCCAGAGCTCCTGAGAGTGAGTCTGCTCATGTCTTCTCTCCAACTCTCTGGTGTCATTTAACCCTCTTACCCCTCACACTTAGACTTTGCATTCCTTGAAGGAGTACAACAGTAAAAACCTGCCAAATCTCTGACCTAATCTCTTGTCTAGCAGAGCCCCAGCCAGGCACAATCAGGAGAGAGGAGAGCAAACCCTGGAGATATGCCAGGCCCTTCTGAAAGAGGTCACTGGAGAACGAAGCCTCCATGCTGATAATTCTCTCAAAAGCAGGGAAATAGCACTGGTGCAGGCAGATGTAGGCTTGGCCTGTTCAAGCTGTGTGTGACCTCACAAGAGTTACCCAGCCTTACTGTGTCTCCATTTCAGGGAGATCTGTGAAGAAGGAATAACCATACCCACCTTGCAGGATGGGTAGGCGTGTGGCTTAGCTCACACACAGTACACGCTAACCACAGGCTTCCCCTCTGGAGGGAGGTATTGCATCCCTGAAACCCTGTTGGAGCCGCTTTCAATTATCACTGGTTTTGATAGGAGAAATTTTATGTGTTTCTTAAATCCTGAAAGTGATATCCATCTATGCTAAAACAATGCTGAATTCTGTTAATACGCATGCTGTGACTTCACCAGTTAGCTGGGCTCACTGGGCGTACCATGGCAGAGCAGCTCTTCCCTCTCAGGTCTGAAGAGAAGGCAACACAAGATGTAACAATGAGCCAGGTACAAGGTGACCTCACCATGGTCTTGTCTCTGCCCTCAGCTATGAAATCCGAATTGGTGTCTGCAAATGCTCAAAAAATCCTCCTGACTTTATTATCTAGTGATTTGTTGTTGACAGATGCCATTGAATGAAACCCTGTGCTGTTTTTACAGTTGTTGCCATGTTTGATCCCATTGTCACAGCGGCTTTAAAGGACTGATGTTTCTTTTCTCACAGCCAAAAGGCCAGAAGTCTGAATGCAGGGTTCTCTCTTTGACTGTTGCAAATTGTTGTCTCGAGTAAGCCATCTTTGGACTTGTCAATTGGTCTATCTCTGTCATCTCCAGCTAGCCTTCTCCTGATGTATGCTGGCTTCTGTGCTCGATCTATTCTTTTACAGCTCAACAGAGATTGGGTTAAGACACACCATACACTGTTATCAGCTCATTTAAAAAAAAGAAAAAGAAAAGAAACTCTTTTTTCCAGATGGAAACAGGAATGGGATTTCCAATATCGTTTATGTTGTAAAGGAATGAGAATTTATATCCTATTTTAGGATGGTAATTTAATATATAACATCAGGTCTACAATCAATACTCTTGGGACCAACAGCTAGGAAATCCAAAGACAAATTGGATAAAGAAAGTCTACTGTCAGGGACCTCTCAAAGTAGTACTAAAGTGGAAAGATGTCAGTTTAGAGAATAAGATGCCTCTGACCTACGCCGCAGTCTTCTCAATTACTTGCTATGCTTCAGAGATCTGGGCAGTGAATTAGGATGATAGAGGAAAAGTCGATGCCTTTGAGTCATGATGCTGGAGAAGAGTATTGAACATACCATGGACTGGGAGGAGAACAAACAGGTTCATTCCCATCCTAGAGAGGATGAAACAAAGTTGCTCTCTGGAGGCAAGGATTTTGAAACTCTGTCTCACATACTTTGGTCATGTTGTCAGGAAGGACCAGTCCTTGGAGAAGGACATCATGCTTGGAAGGGTGGAGGGACAACACAGGAGAGGAAGTCTGGATGAGATGGATTAACATAGTGACTGGGGTTATAGGGGCAGGTGTGTCGAGCTTGGCTCAGGATAGGACGAAGTTCAGAGCTATTGTGCATAGGGTTGCTATGAGTCACAAGTGACTCGACAGCACATAACATCTGCTCAACTAAAGGAATATTAAAGAAAAGCCTTAGATGGTATTCTTTTTTTTTCTCTTCACTTTTTAAAAATTATTATTAATTTTAATAAAAATTTACAGAGACTTTGGATTTCCTTTCATTCACTGTTGCACTTTTCTCCCTGACCACCCTTCCCCCCAATACACCCTTCTCTTAGAAAAGTAAAAGAAAAATTCTTTCATTGTTTTACAACCCCTCCCCCCAGGTCCACTCCACTATGCAGCCTTCATTCTGGACTCCTGTCATGACAGTAATACCTAATCACATATCCCTTTTAAACAGTTTTCTCCCTCATATGTTTCAATGCAGTATACATCATTTATCCCATCTTCCTCAGTCTCCCCACAACCCCAATGTCAGTCCTGTTTTACAACAGTGGCACTATGCAGTATTTGTCCTTTTGTGATTGAGCTGTTTCACTCAGCATAATGTCCTCGAGGGTCACCCATTTTGAATAATATTTCATGAGTTCCTTGTTTTTCAATGCAGCATAGTATTCCATTGTGTTAATATACCACAGCTTCTCTATCCATTCGTATGTTGATGGGCACCTGGGTTGTTTCCAACTCCTTGCTATTGTGAACAAAGCTGCGATAAACATGGGTGTACATATATCTGCTTGAATGTCAGTTATGGTCTCTTTGGGGTATATTCCCAGTAATGGAATTACTGGGTCAAATGGTATCTCTATTTACAACTTTTTGAGAAAGCGCCATACCGCCTTCCACAGTGGTTGCACCATTTTACACTCCCACCAACAGTGAATAAGGGTTCCAGTTTCTCCACAACCTCGCCAGCATTTATTGCTTGCTGTTCTGTTAAGTTTTTCTATTCTTGCTGGGGTGAGATGATACCTTATAGTTGTTTTGATATGCATCTCTCTTAGAGCTAGGGATTTTGAACATTTCTTCATGTGCTTGTTAGCCATCTGAATGTCATCTTTGGTGAAGTGTCTGTTCATATCCTGTGCCCATTTTTCAATTGGATTGTTTATCTTGTGGTACTCAAGTATTTTATAAATTCTAGATATAAGTCCCTTATCTGACATGTCATTACCAAATACTTTCCCCCAGTCTGTGGCTTCTCTTTTTAACCCGGTTGGAAAAGTTTTTGGGTGTGCATAGGGATTTGATTCTTAGAAGGTCCTATTAATCTATTTTTTCTGGTTGTAGATATATGGTATTCTTGATCCCCAAGTGTGTATGTTTACAATATAATTTTTGTGTTATGTCTCATGTTTTGCTAAGTGCTTATCCTGTTCATATGAATGGATCAGCTTTCCTCGAAGTGTGTCTGGGAGAAGTCCCAGGACCACTGCCCTGAGGGTCTTCGTGAGCACATCCTCTTACCCCTGTTGTCTCCTGATGCAGCCTCAGAAGAGGAGGAGGAAACGAACCTGGAGCCAACCATCCCAGACACTGAGACCATAGAGACCACTAAGACCTTCAAACCTCGCCTGGGGGAGCTGACCATGACTGATGCCACCCCTGACTCCCTGAGCCTGTCCTGGACAGTCCCTGAGGGCCACTTTGACCACTTCCTGGTTCAGTACAGAAATGGTGATGGGCAGCCCAAAGTGGTGAGGGTGCCAGGGCACGAGGATAGCGTAACCATCTCGGGCTTGGAGCCGGACCACAAGTACAAGATGAACCTGTATGGCCTCTTCAACAGCCAGCGCGTGGGCCCTGTCTCTGTCACTGGAGTGACTGGTGAGTGGAAAGTGGAGACCCTGGTGTGAGACCCAGGGGAAGGTCCCCTTCTTTCTCATAATGGTGACTGTGTTACCCTTGTCCCTGTCTCTTGTGCCTCATTGACGTTTACCTGGTTCTATGGGCAGAGAAGGTAGTCCATGCGCTATGCTGGTGGCTGCCATCTGATCCCCTCACCTGGCCTGGGGCTCTGGGCACTTTAGTGAGGTGTTGACCCAGCAGGACCTCTACCCATGAATGGGCCTCTCTGAACTGACATGAGGACCACAGATGTGACCACAGCCTCCCTATACAGCTCCTTGAGGATCTGAGGACTTCTCTCAGGGCCCTTTCTCCCCCTCTCTGTGTCTCTTTTTTCAGCTCCAGAGGAAGAGACCCCCGCACCCACAGAACCCACCACAGAGGCCCCAGAGACTCCCGAGGAGCCCCTCCTGGGGGATCTGACGGTGACAGAATCCACCACTGACTCGCTGAGCCTCTCCTGGACCGTCCCCCAGGGCCGCTTTGACTCCTTCACCGTGCAGTACAAGGACAGGGACGGGCGGCCCCAGCTGGTGCGCGTTGGGGGTGAGGAGCGTGAGGTGACCGTGCAGGGCCTGGAGCCCGGGCGCAAGTACAAGATGAACCTGTACGGCTTCCATGAGGGGCAGCGTGTGGGTCCCGAGTCCACCGTGGGCACAACGGGTGAGTGCCGGTCGGGAGAACTTGCTTCTCTGGTGAATAAGCTTGACCAATGTGCTCCCCTCTCAGCCTTCCTCCATGGCCTCTGTGCCTCATGTCTATGGTTGCCTTTGGCGTGACCTCCCTCTGTTGGTCAACCACTGACTGGAAATGTGCCAGACACCGACCATGGCTGACTTAGCCGAATTTTACTTTTTAATCACATTATCACATACAATGTTTGTGTTATAACCACAAATAAAAAAAAAAAAACCAAAACAAAACAAAACACAACCCACAAAACCTCAAAACCAAAAAAAAAAAGAAAAACTAGAAAACAGCCCAACATCCAACCACATTGGAATGATTAAGTGATTTAGGCAACATCTATAAAATGAGCTATTATGTCACTCTGGAACTGTTTTAACACAAGAGAATGACTTTATAATGCTTCAATGAAAAGAGAGCACACATTTTCTGTAAGGCTAACCACGAACACTTGAACATAATGCACGTGGCAAGAAGCCTGGAAGGAAACGCATCCCCTGGGAGGCTTGGTTGGCGGGATAGAAGGGGATGTTCCATGTTCCACTACTCAGTATTTTCTGTTAGAGTCTATTCTGTTGTCCAGGCTTTCTTCTACGGCAAACATTTCTTTTAAGAAAAAAAAAAATCTCTTCCCTCTCCTATTCCTTCTCACCTCCACTACCATAACTCATTTCTAATTAGGGCAAAGTAAAAAATTTTAATGCATGAAATATTAGAAGGTAGCAAAATCAGAAAGCACCTTAAATTACAAACCACCGTCAGCAAGGCCAGCCTTTTCTAAGTCATCTCAGCCAGGTTCTTAGACCTGTTCAGGGCATTTCATCAGAGTTTCTGTGGTTGGTGAAGAACCAATTCTCTCTGAGAAGTGCCACTTCGGAGGACAAATAGCTACCCAGTGACACCATTTGAAGGCCCCTGGATGACACTAAAGATTTGTGCTTGAGAACCAACCTAAAGGCTGACCGTTCACATCTATCCAGTCGTGTCACAGAAGAAAGGACTGGCAACCAAAAGATCAACCCAGAACCTCAGCTCATTGCTGTTGGGTTGTAACTGGCTCACACCTGGACCTCCAGTGGGTTTTTGAGACTGTAAATCATATGGGAGGAGACTGACTATCTTTCTCCCACAGAACAGCTGGTGGATTCAAACCTCTAGAGATGCGCTCACTGCCTTTGGGCTGGCAGTGCAGCTCCCTACACTAGGCTGCTAGTGCTTCCTCCAAAAGGCCACAGGCATTGGAGACCCAGCAGAGCACAGTGCTGCTCTGAAACACACAGGGTTGCTTGAAAGCAACAGGGTTTTGTGGGGGGTTAGTTTTTCTATTTTTGTATGTAACACCAATTAAGCAGCATTGGGAGTTGTGTTCTCATTTCTTGAAGATAGGCCAGAAGAGAAAATCCTATCTCAGTCCCAGCGTACTCTGTAGGAATTGAGGAAGCTTCATTTCTGTGTACATGTTTAGGAATGTCTGGGTTAAGGAGAGGGAGAAACTAGGGGGGAGGCTTCCCTAGAAAATAAGCATTAGAGAAAGTCACACCTTGGAAATAAGTTCTTGATTCTCATCTAATGTTCAATTTTTGTTTTGTTTTGTTTTGCTGTTGTGATAAATCACAAAATGTGTACAATAAAACAAATCTATTTCCCCTCATCAATTCCCAATCCGTGGCTATGCCACGTGTTACAGAGAGAAACTGTGCCTCATACGATTTTCTTGGCTATATAATCTTTACTGGCTTCCCTGGGTGGTGCCAATGGTTTTCTCTCACCTACTAACCTAAAAGGGACCTCTGGTGGCCTAGTAGTAAGGATTGCACTGCCAATGCAAAGGTGCACAATTTGAATCTACCAGCTACTCCATAGGAGAAAGATAGGTCTTTTCCTCCTGTGCAGTTCACTGCCTCTGAAAACCTGATGGCAGATCAGCTATGGGTCAGTTCCAACTCTACGGTTAACAAAAACAACAACTAAACTAAAGTTTGGTGGTTTAAAGCCACCCAGCAGTGCCGTGGAAGAAAGTCTTGGCAATCTCCTTCCATAAAGATCACACCCAAGAAAACTCTGTGGAGCAGTTCTCTGCTACACATGGCTTTACCAGAAGCCAGGGTCAGTTCAATGGCAACAGGTACTCTTTATGGCAGTAGACTGCCAGGGCTTTCTTCCAAATTGCTGCTAGGTGAGTTCAAACCACCCAACTTTAAATTAACAGCCAATTGCATGCGGTTTACACCACAAAGGGACTTTCAGTACGAAGCAGAGAGAGTTGAATAACAGACCCAAATCCTATTCCCTTCCTGTCCCATTTATACCACACCCCATTCTCTCCAATATTAGTTTTTCCTCACACCCTACTTTCTCCATTTTTTTTTCCTCAAGAAGATACAAGTTCGTCCCAGAGAGGGTTAAACCAGGTTGTTCCTTGGAGGCAAGGATTCTTAAGCTTTGTCTGACATACTTTGGACATGGTTCAAGGAGGGACCAGTCCTTGGAGAAGGGACGTCATGCTTGGGAGGATGGAGAGACAATGCAGGAGAGGAGGACCCTCGGTGAGATGGATTGATTCAGTGACTGGGGTAATGGGGGTGGGTGTGTCAGATACAGTAAGATTGGCACAGAATAGAGCAGGGTTTAGGGCTGTTATACATAGGGTCGCTAAGAGTCGAAGGCAACTTGGCAACATATAACAATAAGATCTTAAGCTCACATTTTTCTAGTTCTGAAAAGAAATAGCAACATTATGGAATATTTGAGAAATAATTAAAAAACCCTCATCATTCCCTTTTGAACCAAAACACCCCCATCAGTAATGATACACGTAGCTAACTCCCTCACTGTGTTTTCCACGTAGAGCATGTTTCAAAGTTACCTTCAAAATTCATGTAATTCTAGGGCCTTTACTTTGGTTTATGCAAGTTACATCCTAGCCTTTTGCCCTATGAAGCATGACCGAAGTTAATCACCCACATAGTGGTTATGTGATGCTTCAGACCAGTGCACTGAAGCTGAATTCATCATCATCCTTCATGGGTCATTTGAGTTCCTGACACGTTTTGCTGTCTTGAATAATCCATGAATGAACTCTTCCATGTTATAACTTTTTCCTTCTTTTTTAAATAATTTTTTTAGGCTAGGTGCCCAGAAATGGGATTATTGAGTCAAAGGAAATGAGCGTTATCTTGGCACTTTCTGCAGGTTTGTAACAGTGCAGGCCTGCCAGCAGTCCGTGAGTGGGAATGGGACCCGTTTCAGACACCTGATGGATGTTCCATCAGAGCCTCCCAGAGCCTCCAAGCCCATGGCTGGAGGAGAATATGGAAGACTGATGTCAACAACAGAGACAATCACCCATTTAGCCTGATTTCCCTATCCCTCTTCTCTCAGTCCCTCAGGAGGTTGTGGAAGAGACCCCTACAGAGCCCACCACAGAGTTCCCAGACACCCTCGAGGAGCCCCTCCTGGGGGAGCTGACGGTGACAGGATCCACCACTGACTCGCTGAGCCTCTCCTGGACCGTCCCCCAGGGCCACTTTGACTCCTTCACCGTGCAGTACAAGGACAGGGACGGGCGGCCCCAACTGGTGCGCGTCAGGGGTGAGGAGCGTGAGGTGACCGTGCAGGGCCTGGAGCCCGGGCGCAAGTACAAGATGAACCTGTACGGCTTCCATGAGGGGCAGCGTGTGGGCCCGAAGTCCACTGTGAGCAAGACAGGTGAGTGCAGGCCTGGAGCAGGGCAGGGTGTAGACAAGGGACCTTATAGAGTTTCCCTTTCCTCCCAGCTGCATAGAAAGAGAAATGCCCATCTGAATCATCGAGCACCTTGTATAACGCAGATCGGTCCGTCAGGTTTGGGCAGAGCCTCAGGCGACTGCATTCCTAGATGTTTTCCCCTATGATGCCAATGTCTCTGGTCCACAGACTTTAGAATTTGTTGAGAACTATTTAACCTGTGCCCATGATTCCACTCAAGATCCAGCTGCTCTCTAGCTGACTGGGCCAAGGATGAGAGGGGGCCGTGAGATGAGGATCAGGCTGTTGGTAACACCTGGCTTAAGTAGTAGCAAAGATTTTACCCAGTGGGTAATTTGTTCAGTGAGAGACTTACATGCCCTGATTTGAGCACTGGAGGACAGGTTATCAGTGACCGCTAAACACCCCTAGAAGCACAGTGCAGGGAGCTGGTAAGTTTCTGCTTTGTGCAGTAAGGAACAATATATGTGAACTCTCAGCACCTGGGGGAGAGGGTGCTAGAAGAGACTTGATGGGGTATTTGGGCTGTATTAGGTGATTGTGGGAAGAGCTTAAGGGGTGAGGAGTTTATGGGTGGAATACATAATGCACTTGATTGATGGGCGTAAGGTTGAAACAAGTCTATACAGAAGGGTCTCAGAAGAACGGCCCCACAATCTGCTTTCCAGAACTGAGCCAGTAAAACCTTGTGGAACACAGTCTTGCCCTGATATACATGGGGTCACCATGAGTCAGAATCACCCCAACAACAAATACTTGCAGGTTGATTTTAGGAGAGAAGTTCTGCCTGGACTGAGTGCTACTGGGAAAGAATCATTCTATGATTTATTGCAGTATTATTAAAAAATCTTACCTACTGAGCAGATAAGCACAAAGGGACAACTGTGAGTAGTGCAGAAGCAGTGGTCACTCCAATCAGCCAGGATCAGGACAGATTTGTTGCCTTGAGTACGTGGGCAGCATTCAGCTTTTGTCTCTGTTCAGATTGAGTAGAGCGGTTCCCATTCCTGGAAATTGTCCATATTCACCAGGAGAACTGGAGACTGCAATATCAGACCAGCTCCTAGCAGCCCAGCTGAGTAGATGGACCAGGAGGCTCTCAAACACCAGGGATGCTCATCTCCTGGGTGAAGCTTTGAAAATGGCACACAGGTCCTTATCATAAAGGGACAGACAGTGAACCCGCAAATGAGACAATAGAAAGGGAAGGAGCATGGAGCACGGAGCTCAGGAACCAGGCCAGGACAAGGCAGAGAGCCTTCTGCCTAAGTCTTGACTGGTAACAGTGCCAGAGAAAGAGAAAAAGGATACCAGGTTACCATCCCAGAAGGTGCAGACACCCAGAGGCCAGAAACAGCAGGCTGGTTGGAGGAGCTGAAAAAGCATCATAGATACCTTTTTGAGGTGGGAGAGGGCTTTGAGATATATCTGGGGGCAGAGGGGCAGCTCTCTCTGTGAGATTCCTTCCACAGATGAGTAGAGTGGTTGTACTGTTTCAAGTTGAAGATCAACATGAATTTTTACAAAAATTCATTCTGGCTATTTAGTGAAAAATGGGTAGGAAAGGGGAACAGCTTGGAGCCGAGAGAGAGCAGTAGGGAGACAGTCACCCAGGTGGGAGAAGATGATGGTCCAAACCAAGAAAATGGATGGAGACAGGAGAGGGAACTGAGGAAGGAGGATGACCCCACTCAGACCCCATGACAGCTGAGCAGAGGAGGGGCACAGGATGGTCCAGGGGCAACAGTGGAACAGCAGGTATCCCCAGCAGAAGAGCTGATTGGGAACAATGACATCATTAAATGGGCACAGAGGTGATAGCCAGCAGAGGCAGGGTCCAAGGACAGTGGACATGGAAGCTTGTTCTTGGAAAAGAGGCAGGTGCTGGGGCAGAAGAGAGGTTATGGGGATGTTTGTGGACATTGGTGAGGACACAGTTGCATGAGGGTCAGAGGATAGAACACTCACAGGGAAGGTTCTGGAAAAGCAAAGATGATTAGAACTGCATCTGCCCCATGTTTACCCTGTTGTCTGTACCATGTCCTCTTGCATGCTGAGGGATGAAGACACCTCACCTGTCCCCTCGCTTTCTCCACCTCTCCAGAAGATGAAGTCAAGATGACCTCGCCCCCACCCATGGCTATCCCTGAGCCTCCCTCCAAGCCACGTCTAGGGGAGCTGGCCGTGACTGATGCCACCCCCGATTCCCTGAGCCTGTCCTGGACGGTCCCTGAAGGTCGCTTTGACTACTTCCTGATCCAGTACAGGAATGGTGATGGGCAACCCAAGGGTGTACGGGTGCCAGGACATGAGGACAGCATCACCATCTCAGGCCTGGAGCCGGACCACAAGTACAAGATGAACCTGTATGGCGTCTATGATGGCCAGCGTGTGGGCCCCATCTTTGCCACTGGGGTGACTGGTGAGTATAGAGCAGAGGCCCAGGGTTGCCCTGCTGCAAGTCCCCCTCCCTCTGATGATGACTGTGGTACCTGTGCCTTTGCCCTGTGACTCCCTGAGGTCTACTCCGTTCTCTTGGGCAGAGAAGGGTGGATATGAACTGTGCTCATGGCTGCCACCTGTTCCTTAGCCTGACACGGGCTTATGGGCACATTTGTCAAGAGTTGGCCCCTTGACAGGATCCCAGCATAAGAAAGGGCTTTTCTAGACTGACCTCAGGACACCAGTTGTGGTTATGGCTTCTCTGAGGACTCAAGGACATCTCACAGGAGGTCCCCTCACCCTCTCTGTGTCTCCTTCTCAGCTCCAGAGGAAGAGACCCCCGCACCCACAGAACCCACCACAGAGGCCCCTGAGGAGCCGCTCCTGGGGGAGCTGACGGTGACAGGATCCACCACAGACTCGCTGAGCCTCTCCTGGACTGTCCCCCAGGGCCACTTTGACTCCTTCACCGTGCAGTACAAGGACAGGGACGGGCGGCCCCAGCTGGTGCGTGTCGGGGGTGAGGAGCGTGAGGTGACCGTGCAGGGTCTGGAGCCCGGGCGCAAGTACAAGATGAACCTGTATGGCTTCCATGAGGGGCAGCGTGTGGGCCCTGAGTCCACCGTGGGCAAGACAGGTGAGTGCAGGCCGGGAACAGAGCAGGGTGGATGGATGATGGTCCTGGAACAGTTTCTCTTTTCTACCAGCTTCTGATAAATAGAAAAGTTCTCAACAGAGGGCCTCTCCATCAGACTTCCTCCAACACAGATTTGTTCGCTCTTTTGGCAGTCTGTAGTTTGTTCACGACCCTTTGCCAACACTACAGTTCAAGGGTATTGATTTTTCTTTGAGCTTTCTGATTCATAGTCCTAATTTCAGATGCATATGAAGCAATTTAAAATACCATGGCTTGAGTCTGCTGCACCTTAGTCTTTAAACTGACATCCTGGCTCTTTAGCACTTTAAAGAGATCCTTGACAGCAGATTTTCCCAAGGTAACACCTCTTTTGGTATCTTGACTACTCATTCCATGCACGTTGATTGTGGATACAAATAAAATGAAATCATTGACAGCTTCAGTCTTTTGTCCATCTAGCTTTATGTTGCCTGTTGGTCCAAAGGTAAAGAAATTTGTTTTCTTTATGTTGGATTGTAATCCTTATTGAAGACTGTAGTAATTTATATTTTTCAAGTCATCTTCACTTTCTGCAAGAAGGTTGTACCACCTGCATGACGTTAGTGTCAGTCTTGATGCTACATTTATCTTTGCAGAGTCTAGCTTCTCAAATTACTTGCTTATAATACAGCTGGAATAGATACTGAGAAAGGATGCAGCCCCAGCACACATATTTTCTGATTTTAAACCAAGCAGCGTTCTCTTGTTCTATTCAAAGGTCTGCTTGGTTTTGGCCCATGTATAGTTTTCACATGAGCACAATGTAGTGTTCTGGAATCCTCATTCATTTCAATTTTAGCCATAATTGATTTTTATCCACATAGTTGAATCCATAGTCAGTGAAATACAATTAAACGTCTTTCTGATATTCTCTGCTTTTAGCCAAAATCCATCTAACATTAGCAGTGATGTCCCTCTTTCCATGGTGTATCTGTCAGTCGGCCATACTGTGGTGGCTTGTGTGTTTGTATTTACAATGTTGGGTTTTTCTGTTTGGTTGGTTGGTTGGGATTTTTTAAATTATTTTTTTGTGCATGTACTGTCAAATCAGATCTGACCGGTATAGGAGGAGATTGTCTCACCTTCTTCAGCAGAGCTGCTGTTTTTAGGTGCTGTTAAGTACCTGTGACCCATAACAACTCTATGTACAGCAGCTCTGAACCCTGCCCTATCCTGAGCCAATCTCATCGTCTCTGACACACTTAACCCCTTTACCCCAGTTACTGTGTCAATCCATCCAACCAGGGTCTTCCTCTCCTGTGCTGACTTTATACCCTTCTAAGTATGATGTCCTTTTCCAAGGACTGGTCCCTCCTGGCCAAGTACCCAAAGTATGTGAGGCAGAGCTTCAGAATCCTAACCTCCAAGGAGAAACTTGGTTTCACCCTCTCCAAGACCTATTTGTTTTCTTGGTGGTCCATGGATGTTCATGACTCTTTTCCAGCACTTCAGTTCAAAAGCATCAATTCTTCTGTCATCCTTAGTCATTGTCCAGCTCTCTGATGCATAGCAAGTAATTGCCAAGACCACAGCCTGGATTAGTCTCTAGATGGACATCGTTGCTTTTCAGCACTCTTTATTCTTGCATACCTGTAATGTCTTCCTTTGCCTTGGTCACATTGTGCTGACTTATCCCAAACTGCATATTGTCTCTCCCTTCTCCAGAATTAGCATGCATTTATTATCTAGTTAGTGATTCTCCCACCCCTTTCCATTTCCAATAATTATCAAAGACTGGGTGTAAACCTTGTCTTTTTATATAATTTTTGTCCTTTTTTAATTTATTTCTTTCACTCAGCATAATGTCCTTCGTATATACGTACTTCTAAAAAGAACTCATTCTGTCCTTTGAGTGGTTAGATTGAGGGGCGTGGGAAACGCAGGTGACTGGAGTAAGGAGACTAGCAGGAAGGCAGTAACTCAAGTGAGGTGAGAAGATGTCCCAAACTGGGAGAGGGGGGGATGGAGGTGGGGAGGGAAGTGTTCCTAAGAAGAACTTAGAAAAGAGACCTATTTGGGAGTTCATTTATAGCTCGGGAGGGGGAAGACTCCAGAAAATCTAGGTTTCTAGTTAAGCAATCTCTGGGAGCAAAAACATCTTCAAGTAGACAATGGAATGCCAACCAGATCCCCATGGGAGGGAACTCTCAGGTACAATGACTATACTGGCCTGGACTCAAATGAGAAGCCAGTGATGGGACAGAGGAGGGGACATGTGGATATTAGTGGACAATGATGAGGGCACAGGTACAGGAGTGTCAGGGGATAGGGCATCAACAGGAAAGGTTGGAAAAGATACGTGAGAACAAATGTGGACAGATCTTTCATAGTATTTATCATCATAATTTTCGTACCTCATTCCTATACATGTTGAAATGAGGATAAAGAGACCTCATCTGTCCCTTCTGTCTTGTCTTTCTCCAGAAGATGAAGTCAGGACGACCCCAGCCCCACCCACGGCTGCCCCTGAGTCTCCCTTCACCCCTCGCCTGGAGGAGCTGACCGTGACTGATGCCACCCCCGACTCCCTGAGCCTGTCCTGGACGGTCCCGGAGGGCCACTTTGACTACTTCTTGGTCCAGTACAGAAATGATGATGGGCAGCCCAAGGCCATACAGGTGCCAGGACATGAGGACAGTGTTACCATCTCAGGCCTGGAGCCGGACCACGAGTACAAGATTAACCTGTTTGGTCTCTACGATGGCCAGCGAGTGGGTCCTGTCTTTACTGTGGGTGAAACAGGTGAGTAGAGTTGGAGGGTGGAGGTCCAGGTCCAATGTAGGATCCAAAAGGAAGGCTACCTGATATCTTAACACAGGCCATTTACTTTTGTACCTTTTGCTATGGCTCCCTGAGGTCTGACTGCTTTTCCCACTCAGAAAACGATAATGTGAACTATGCTGGTGGCCACCAACTGTTCCCCAACTTCACCTGGGGCTCTGGGCACATTTGTAAAGTGTCAGCCTCTTGACAGGATCCCAGCTTATGAATGAGCTTCTCTGACTGACCTCAGGACACCAGTGGTGGCCATGGCTTCTCTGAGGACTCAAGAACATCTCATAGGACCCCCGCCACTCTCTGTGTCTCCTTTCTCAGCTCCAGAGGAAGAGACCCCCACTCCCACAGAGCCTATCACAGAGGCCACAGAGACCCCTGAGGAGCCACTCCTGGGGGAGCTGACGGTGACAGGATCCACCACAGACTCGCTGAGCCTCTCCTGGACCGTCCCCCAGGGCCACTTTGACTCCTTCACCGTGCAGTACAAGGACAGGGACGGGCGGCCCCAACTGGTGCGTGTCGGGGGTGAGGAGCGTGAGGTGACCGTGCAGGGCCTGGAGCCCGGGCGCAAGTACAAGATGAACCTGTATGGCTTCCATGAGGGGCACCGTGTGGGTCCTGAGTCCACCGTGGGCAAGACAGGTGAGTGCAAGCCGGGAAATGGGCAGAGTGGATGGGTGATGGTCCTGGAACAGTTTCCCTTTTCTACCAGCTTCTGATAAATAAAAAAGTTCTCAACAAAGGAGTTTCTGGTACACATCCAGATTGCTCGGCAATCTTGTTGAAGGAGACTCCATTCAGCAGAGTTAGGCCTGAGTTCTCTGTGATGCTGACGTTTCTGATCCACAAACTTCAGTTTGAATAGTATATCTGTTCACAAGAAAGGAATAAGGAACCTCCTTTAGAATTTGTTGAAAAGGTACATAACCTTGACTCATGCTTCCTCTCAATGTGCAGCTGCTCTCAAGCTGACCACTAGGATGACAGTTGGCTGGGATGGCAGATGGTAGATTGGAGTCCTGACTGCAGCCTGCCCTGACCTGAAACATCCTTTTTCATTTTCATAGATGTGCCGATTCAATCAATAGATGAGCCTTGAGCTGGGCCCTGGGAAGTCTCTCTCACAACAGACGTTCAGGTTCCAGTTCCAATAGGGTGTACAATCAAGGTGGGGAGGGGAATCCTAGGAGAGAGAAGACCATTGGGTAGGGAGCCCAGGAAAAGGCCAGGACGCCTAAGACTGTCCCTGGAGGTTAGGGACTTGCTTGCTGGCAGCATTAAAGAGGAGGGAGAGGTCAGATTGGTGTCATACCAGGGTCAAGGGCTCTGCGCCTGGACACAGGTGCATGGGGGAGTCATACCAGAGGCAAAGGCTCCAAGCTGGACACAGGTGCATGGGGGGACAAAGAGGCTTGGGAGGCCATCTTTTGAGGTGGGAAGATAGTCATCATATGTTTCTATAGTAGCAGGGGCAGCTGGTGGAGGGTGATTGTACACCTTTAAGCTGAAAGCTGACACCATCACATTTGCATTTTTTAAAAAAACCTCACTCTCACTTTCTATGAAGATGGTGCTGAAAGCGAAGAAGGAAGCCCCTGCCCCTCCCAAAACTGAAGCCAAAGCAAAGGCATTGAAGGCCAAGAAGGCAGTCCTGAAGGGCGTCCACAGCCCAAAAAAAAAAAAGAAGAAGATCCGCACGTCACCTACATTCCGGCGGCCTAAGACGCTGAGATTCCGAAGGCAGCCCAAATACCCCCGGAAGAGCGCCCCCAGGAGAAACAAGCTTGACCACTATGCCATCATCACATTTCCCCTGACCACTGAGTCAGCCATGAAGAAGATAGAAGATAACAACACACTTGTGTTCATTGTGGATGTCAAGGTCAATGAGCACCAAATTTAAAAAGCTGTGAAGAAGCTCTATGACATTGATGTGGATATGGTCAACACATTGATTAGACCTGTTGGAGAGAAGAAGGCCTATGTTCGACTTGCTCCTGACTATGATGATTTGGATGTTGCCAACAAAATTGGAATCATCTAAACTGAGTCCAGTGGGCTAATTCTAAATACAAATTTTTCTCACAAAAAAAAAAACCAACACCACCACAAAAAAAACCCCAAACCAAACAACACCACTCGCGCTGTTTGGGAGAGAATGAGTAGGAAGGGGAACAGACTGGAGCAGAGAGAACAGTTGGGAGGCAGTAACCCCGGATGAGAGGAGATGGTGGCCCAACCAGGAGGACTGGGTGAGGTGAGGGAGGGAAGTGCTCCCAGAGGAAGGAGTCTGACCCCACTCTGACCCACAGGCAGCTGAACAAGAGAGGAGTGTAGGGTGTTCCTGTGGTTCTGAGCTTATTTGTGAGTAAAGATGAGATGAAATGAACATTGAGATGCCAGGGAGACTTCAGAAAAGGAAGACTCCAACTACAGTGGTCACCTGATCTGCTCTCGAGAGAGATTGGTGCTGGTCACAGGGATGTTAATGGACAGTGGTCATAGTACATAACTCCGTCACAGTCAGGGGGTCGGACACTGATGGGGAAGGTTCCAGAAAAGCAGAGAACTACCAGGGAAGGCATCCTCCCATGTTTACCCTGTTGTCTGTACCACATCCTCCCACATGCTGAAGTGAGGGATGAAGACACCTCACCTGTCCCCTTTCTTTCTCTCCCTCTCCAGAAGATAAAGTCAAGATGACCCCACCACCGCCTGTGGCTGGCCTGGAGCCTCACATCAAACCACGTCTAGGGGAGCTGACCGTGACTGGTGCCACCCCTGACTCCCTGAGCCTGTCCTGGACGGTCCCCGAGGGCAGCTTTAATCAGTTCCTGATCCAGTACAAAAACGGTGACGGGCAACCCAAGGGCGTACGGGTGCCAGGACATGAGGACAGCGTCACCATCTCAGGCCTGGAGCCAGACCACAAGTACAAGATGAACCTGTACGGTCTCTACAACGGCCAGCGTGTGGGCCCCATCTTTGCCACTGGGGTGACTGGTGAGTGGAGGATGTTGCTGGTCAGCGAGCTGGGGTTTTCCGATGACATATTTTCTGTGACCACAGGCCTGATCTTGGCTGAGGCTGTGACCCCTTTGCCCCTGCCTCTGAGATTGTGTCTTCTGGACAGAGAAAAGCTGTTAAGAACTTTGATGCTCTAGTGTCTACTACCTGTTCCTACACCTGATCTGGGGCTCTGGGCACATTTGTGAGGTGCTGACCAAGCATGATGCAAGGCCAAGAATCAACCTTAGTCTTAGCCATGCTTTGCTATGCTTCTCTGTGAGGATATAAGGACACCTCACAGGGGGTCCCCTCACCCTCGCTATGTCTCCTTCTCAGCTCCAGAGGAAGAAACCCCCACAGAGCCCACCACAGAGCCCCCCGAGGAGCCCCTCCTGGGGGAGCTGACGGTGACAGGATCCACCACTGACTCGCTGAGCCTCTCCTGGACCGTCCCCCAGGGCCACTTTGACTCCTTCACCGTGCAGTACAAGGACAGGGACGGGCGGCCCCAGCTGGTGCGTGTCGGGGGTGAGGAGCGTGAGGTGACCGTGCAGGACCTGGAGCCCGGGCGCAAGTACAAGATGAACCTGTACGGCTTCCATGAAGGGCAGCGTGTGGGCCCCAAGTCCACCGTGGGCAAAACAGGTGAGTGCAGGGCCAGAGCAAGACAGGGTGTGGTTGGATGTGGTAGTTAGAAGAATTTTTCTTTTTCTCCCAGCTTCTAGAAGGAAAAATGTCCATTTCAGAGCCTCACGGCAAATGTTAAGCCCATCCGGATCACAAGGCACCTTGTAAAAGTCAGGCAGGTCCATCAACAGTAGCCTTGACCTTGTGCATTTCTAGCAGCTTCCCCCTGTGATGCTGATGATTTTGGTCCACAGGCCTTACTTTGAGTTATGAGACTAGTAACAAAAGTGTGTGGACCTTTTCTTAGAAATTAACCTGCATTAGGATTGCTCATCAGGATAGCTCCCTAGGTGACATGGGACAGGATGCAGATGACAGGTTCCAGGTTGTTTTGCATCCTGGTTCAGCCAGTCACAGATTTATTGACTCATTGAGTGAACAAGGACTTGTCAGCCCAGAACTGGCCCCAAGGCTCAGTGCAAGGCCACTGGAGCAGTCTTTGACATAACAGCCCTACTAGTACTTACCCTAATGGGAGCACTGGCCTGGAGTCAAGTGGTGAATGTGCATATTGAGCAAAGGGACACGATCTTGGGACAGGTAGATGAGCCAGGACTTCTCAGCCACTTCAGGGCATGATGACCCAAGAGATAAGGCCTGGGAATGGGCTGGGGTTAATCAGTGTTCAAGGAGGTAAAAGAAGGTATCTGATCATCCTCAAAACAGGTACAAAGGCCTAAAGTCACCAAAATCCTGGAGGATCCCATCTGATGAGGGAGATGGCTGGATATTTGTCCAGTGGGGGGAAGGTGGTTCATGGGATGTGGGACATCCAGCAGGGTGGTTGTACAGTTTTAGGTTAGGTTGTGACATTCTTATTTTTAAAAAAACTCAGTATGGCTGTCTGGTGAAGAATGAGTGGGAAATACCATCAATGAAGAGGACCTTCTAAGAATGAAGTCACTGTGTGTATCCAAAACCTTTTCCGATAGGGTGAAATGAAAACCAACTGACTAGGAGAAAACATTTGATGATAATATATCAGATAAGAGTCTCATAACAAAATTCTACAGAATACTTCTGGGCTTTCACAAGAAAGTCTAACAACTCAAAATACAAAATGGATAAAAGATGTGGCTGGACCTTTCACAGATCAAGACATTCAGATGACCAACAGACACATGAAGGGATGCTCAAAATCATTGGTGATAAGAGAAAAGCAAATCAAAACTGCAGTGAAATACCATCTCACTCCAGTGGCAGTGGCAAAGTTTTAACAGGACAACAAGCAATAAATGTTGGAGAGGGTTTGGAGAGACAGGAACTTTTTTTATACAGTGTTAGGGGAGTTGTAAAATGGTCCAACCACTCTGGAAGGCAGTTTGACATTTTCTCAAAAAGCTGAACATAGAGATTCCGTATGAACCAGCTATATACCACTGGTCTGAATATGTTATAGTTGTTGTTGTTAGGTGCTGTTGAGTCGAGTAAGACTCATAGTGACCTTATGAACAAAAGATCTGAACCCAGTCCTGTCCTGTGCCATCCTCACACTTCCTGACACAGAAAGAGCCTATTGCAGTTGTCACAATGTCAATCCACTTCACAGACTCTCCACCCTTCCCCTTCTAGCAACATGTCCAAAGTATATGAAGCAAAGCCTCATCATTCTTGCCTTCAATGAGCACTCGAGCTGCACCATCTCCAAGACATGCGTGTTTGTTCTCTTGGACGTCCAGGATATTTGGAGGATGGTTTTCTGGCCAATGGATTGGAAGAGGTCCATATTTGTTCCCAAAACCAAGAAGAGTGATCCAACTGAATGTGGAAGTTACCGAACAATATCATTGATACCACATGCAAGCAAAATACAGCTGAAAAACATTCAAACACGGCTGGAACAGAACATAGAGAATTGACAGAAGTTCAAGCAGGATTTAGGAGAGGCTGTGGCACCAGTGAAATCATTGCTGATGTCAGATGGGTCCTGGCTAAAAGTAAAGAATACCAGAAGAATGTCTATTTGTGCTCTATTGAGTACGCAAAGGCATTTGGCTGTGTGGATCCTGACAAATTGTGGTAGGAATATACCTCAGGGAAAACAAGAGATACAAATGAAGATGTGTACACTAATGCTCACAGCAGCATTATTCACAATAGCAAGAGCATGGAAACTGCCAGAATGTCCTTCATCAAATGACTAGATTGAGAAACTATGGCATATTCACACGATGGGATACTATACAGCACTCAGGAGCAATGATTTTGAAAAATACTATATAACTTGGGAGAGGCTAGAGAGCATTATGCTGAGTGACTGAATTACGTACATTAGAAAGAAATACTGTATAAGTCCATTATTGTAAAAACAGAAGGATTACCTGTGAGATGTGTATGCATGTACAAATGGTTTGTACCAGATGTTTACAAAGAGTAAAGAATACTTAGAACTGTGCCACTTATGAAAGGAAATCTTCTCTAAAAGATGCATTCCTGTACCAGAGCTATGTCTCATTCGCCCTCTGGAAAACTAGAATCAAGTTTTTAAATAATGCCTTTTTAATTGTACCCTCTAGTATTATAGATGTAGGACTATATTCTGTCATACTCTGTGAAAGTAAAATGTACCTGCTTTATTATATGTAATAGTGACTGTGCTGTATCAGAGCTGTTTTTTAGATGTTATTCTAGAATATTTTCTTTCCAGAAGATGATTGAGAAGCTTTTAAAAAATGGTGCCTAGTACCACAACAGTGACAGGACTTTACTGTTTTCTGCAATTTTGTTTTATACCTTTTTTTTTTATGAAGTATGAGAATGTCTGTATTACTCTTGTTACTGTGACTGCAGGACCTAGAAAAACTGTTGCTGCTGTTGATGCATAACACATTGTGATCGGTCTTTTTATGTAACTATATATGAGTGTGTGTGTGTGTGTGTGTGTATACATACATATATAATTTGAATATTTGGAACCTTAGCTGTGCTGTGAACTTTGGTAAATGTATCCCAGTAGTATGGTGTTAGGATGCCTTTGTGCAGATATTAATAGCCATATTGGTCGAGAAATGTTAAACTTATTTTTCCCCATTTGTACCAAGAGTAATGCACTATATTAAACATGCAAGGTCTTACCGACATGCATTTGATTATAGAAGCTAATAAATATTCTCTAAAAAAAAAAAGGGTAGAAGAGGAATAAACTTGGAGCACAGAAACAGCAGTATCCAGGAGAGAGGTGATGATGCCTCTACCAGGAGAGTGGGGGGAAGTGGGGAAGGAAGGGCCCCTGGAGGCACTGAGGAAGGAGAACTGCCCCTGTGATCGCTGAGCAAGGGAGGAGCCCAGGACACCTGGGGGTCGAACACCAAGTGTCCTGAGTTGCCTTGAGCAAGGCAGCACCCAGCACCTGTCCCTCTGTCTTTCTCCAGAAGATGAAGTCAGGACGACCCCAGCCCCACCCA